TATGATGTCAGGTAAATCTACAGTTTAAATGAGCTGCCACTGACAGCATTGCTATGGAGAAGCAGGGATTGGTAGCAACTGGTTTGTAAGGCAGGGTTAGGAGAGGTGTGCTCACATGTTGGTGTCATACTCTACACATTTTCTGGCAGTTGTAAATAAATGTAGATTCGTGCATCCAATAGAACGGCAACTATCTGGCATTTTGGTTAAGTATAACTCGAAGATGTTGAAATGATGGCTGGATGGCAAAGGACTGCAGTACTGTTTTTGACCTCCGAGAAGGCGTGTCCCAGTAGCTTAGATGTCACGTGAAAACTATGGATAAGCTGGGCCCTGGCCACCTTCACCCTACTGGGACCGATGCAGCGTGCTTAGCCATCTCCACTATTACCAACTTGGGCCATGGAGGGAGCTAGAAGATCAAACTAGTCAACTACAAAGGAACAGCCTCCAGACTGTTGCTTCGAGCGGTCTTTGAAGAGGTTAGTTTAGGGAAGCTAAACAGTCTCTAGCACAGCTATTTTGGAAGGAGTTTCACTCTGAGGGACACAGTGAGCCATTTCAGTTTGAGGCACATAATGAGGAGTTTCACTTTGAGGCACATAAGGAGCAGATTCAGATTCACATTGTGAAGAAGTTGAGACTGTGGTACACTATGAGCAGGTTCAGAGTGAGGCACTAAATAAGTCTCACTTTATGTTAAAGGAGCAACAAAACAACTCTGATTTCACAAGTTAAAAACAAGGATCAGTGTCTGAATCGGCAAGTTGGAAAACACAAAATTCAAATTCATTTGGGCCAACTTGGCAACATGAAACACAGTCTCTGACTTCATAGCAGGCTCATCAACATGAAACACACTCTGTCTGGCTCGGAAACAAAAAATCCAGCCTTCATTTTTTCCAGGCTTATATAAATAAAACATGGATTTCAAACTGGCCTGGAACAAAAGGTTCAGTCTTACTCACTTATTTGGCTGTAATGATTGATTTATCGATGCGTATATATTTTGTTAATGCTGAAACTTGCTTTAGCAACAATGCAATAAATGGAAAATAAATGACGTGGCAGTGCGTAAAATCTGAGCAAATGGTCCTATTTGTCCTCTCATCCACTGGTGTTAACAGCACTCTAGTCCAGTGTTGGCTGAAGCCCCCTCGTGGTCCATAGTGGGACTGCAGGTGGGCCCCAGTAATAACAGAAATTCAGTTTGAAATTACTCACAATTATGTACAGCTACATATCTAAGAAAATGTATTAAGTTATATAAAAAGAGACTTAAAACTATATTAGGAGGTGGTTAGCTTGTGATATTACTCATTAAGCTCAACTAAATTTACTGCTTTTGTATTAAAGTTTGGCAGGTGGGTCACATGTTGGCCTTAACTTTTAACATGTGACTTGTTAGCATATTTATTTTGTTTATGTTTTTCCATGATAATTTTGTTCAAATTACTGTCAATATTTATGGAGCATGTAAGGAGAGAGGTGCAACAGTAAGCCATCGGTAGAACACAGTGGGGGCTGTGTCATGGTTTGGGACTCAAAATTTATGGAATTACACACACACACACACACACACACACACACACACACACACACACACACACACACACACACACACACACACACACAGTCAGATTTTGAGCCACCATAAAATACTAGTGAAAAGCATCCATCCTCTCTCTGTCGCTCCCAGGTCCCTGACGAGTTTCTGTGTTCCTCCCATGCTTGCGTGGGTTTTCTCTGGGTAATCCAGTTTCCTTCACCAACATAATTAATTAACTAATTATGTTGGTAGAGAATAAATTTTAATTAATAATGATTAAAATAATTCTGCTCAGCGTATATCGGGGGATTCTGCACAGATTCGAGTGCAGAAATCGGTTGTTTATTCATGTTTTTCTACCTGAATTTGTTCCCTCTAGGCATGCGTACAGACAAATGAGGTTCTGGTTGTCTTAGGAGCTTTAATCTACTGATTACAGCCCCAACGGATGGCTTTAAGAGATTTGTGTGAATATCTCTGGATGTATATGAAGACATATTATACTGCTGTGTATTTTACATGTATGTTTATTATTCTGACATCGGTTTTGAAAGTTACAGGATGACACCATGACAAAAGTGCCTGTGCCTAGTGTGCTAGTACCGATGGGGTCCGGGTTCATGTCAGAAATCTTTGCGCTTAGATATTTTCTAGAAGGTGTCTTATAAAGAGAAACCCCCCAATAACTGTAGAAAAACAGGGGCTTTAAAGCTGATATTGCAAATTTAGATTCTAGAGTACTGCTTTCAATTTGCGTTACAGGCAAAGGTAAAACAGAAAATATCACATTTTCTGGATGAATAGCCAATCTGCCAAGCCTCACCTCCTAATAACGGCTTAGTATAGAAGCGTTGTGATTGGTGGGTAGTCAAGTCCCCTTCAAACTCATTTGTATTATACTTACATAGTTTATTTTTCATGGATTTCTAATGTTATTTATGGAGTACATTTTAATGTTGTTGTTGTTGTTGTTTTTTAAATGACTCCAATGCTCCAATAAGCAGAATAAATATGAAGCTCGATCCAGCAAAATAAAATGTTCCCCCCAAAAAGAAAAAAAAAAAACACAAAATAAGAATTGAAAGAATGAGCTCAGTAAATAGTCAAAGTAGTTTAAAATAAAGGAGTAAAGTAAAGTAAAGAAAATACAATACAACATTATATTGTTCTTTCAGTTGGCCACATCCACTTCTGCCTCCTGTATTTTTTTTGTTAGTGGTACTATACAAAAAACACACACCATAGCAGGTCTCACCACCAACACGTAAACTTTCCCTTTCAATCTTGCTGCTGTTACAAATCACTCCTGACATTCATCTCTGTGTTGAAAAACTGAATGAAAGGCTCCATGGTATCATGTTTTTGTCTAAATATAATTCTCTATTACAAGATACACTCATCTGTACAAGTTATCTTTTGCATGTTATGTCCTGATTGTATTCTGTGACCGTGGTGTGGAGATAACGTATTCCTATAAATTATTCCATGCTTGTTATTACTTTTTGTCAAATGCCACGTGAACATCTCCTGCACTCGGTATAGTTGTTTGACTTAAAATCTCAGAAAGACAGCTTGTTTTTGTAGATTGATTTATTTCAGATTTCCGTAACACTTGTCTGCACTTGAGACTGTTGAAATAAACAAAAAGGGGCATTTTTAATGTTTAACTAAGTAAACTCCAATATAAATTATAAGGCTAGTTAAAATGACTTTTTGATGTTCTTGTTCAGGGAGCATCTCTAAATGTTGTTTCTTTATTTGGCCACATGGGGGCACACTTACACCACCGTGTATCATCTGTTTTCTACAGTCAGGGCTTTTACCCACAGAGATTTAAAAAATGGGGCTGATACTGACCTACCAAGTTGTCACCAAACGTAATATGTTAAAAAGAAAGAAAGAAGTTAAATAAATTCTGTTTTAATAATAAAAATATAAACATTAGAGTACAGAGGCAGAGTACAGAGAGGAAGTCCTGAAGCTGGCAGCATGGTGTTCAGAAAACAACCTGGCACTGAACACTAAGAAAACCAAAGAGCTCGTTGTTGACTTCAGGAGACACAGCACCGACTTGGCCCCCTCTACATCAACGGGGAGTGTGTGGAGAGGGTCCACACTTTCCGGTTCCTTGGTGTCCTTATCTCTGCTGACATCTCCTGGACAGGAAACATCTCAGTGGTCATCAAGAAGGCCCAACAGCGGCTGCACTTCCTGAGAGTCCTCAGGAAGTACAAGCTGAACTCCAACCTGCTGCTGACCTTCTACTGCTCTTCCATTGAGAGCCTGCTAACCTACTGCATCACGGTATGGTACGGCAGCTGCACCAAAGCAGATAGAGTGAGGCTTCAGAGTGTGGTCAAGACAGCACAAAAGATCATCGGCTGCCCTCTCCCCTCCCTGATGGACATTTATTCCTCCCGCTGCCTCACCAAAGCAGCAAACATTATCAAGGACAGCTCCCACCCTGGCTTCAACATGTTCAGCCTGCTTCCCTCAGGGAAGCGCTACAGGTGCATCAGCACCAAAACCCACAGACTCAAAAACAGTTTCTTCCCCAAAGCGATAACCACCCTGAACTCACACATGCACAGATTGTGTTATCTGTGCATGTGTGAGTTCAGCCCCCACTTCCCACTTCCTCTAAGGACCACCACTGTGCAATACCAATTCTATGTGCAATAACTCAACTGTATATACAAAACACTATTTATTACATATTACTTACGTCTTGTATATTGTACATTATATATATATATATGTATATATATATATATATGTATATATATATATATATATATGTATATATATATATGTATATGTATATATATATGTATATATATGTATATATATATGTATATATATATATATATGTATATATATATGTGTGTATATATATATATATATATATATATATATATATATATGTATTTCCCTATGTTAATACTGTCCATATGTACATAGCGCTGCAGAACTGTACCCCCCCAAGCATGTTTACACTGAGTAGGAGATGCTCTGTATCTCATTGTACAACTGTATAGTGACAATAAAGACATTCTATTCTATTCTATTCTATTCTATTCTATTCTATTCTATTCTATTATCATAAATGTTTGTGCAGTTGTTCTTTTTGTTTATATTTTGTTTATACATCCACACTATATACATTAAACTAAAACAAATCCTTGCAGTAATAAAGCTAATAACATATGGAAATCTTAAAAAACATAAACAAAAACATAATTAAATGTATATTTATCTTACTTTACTATATTTTTCGTCTGATATTTTAGCTTTATTTTCTTATTTTTCGCAAATGCCCACCTTTTTTGATAAATTAAGTATATCTTCATTTAACAAACTCAGAAAGCAAACGAAAAAAAAAAAGTTGACATCATAAAGGGGAGGTGAAGAGAGGAGGCGTTGAGGGATCCTTTAAAAAGTTGAGGTTTGCGTCCACACAGCTCTCCGAACTGTGGCGAAAAGACGTTTCCGCCCACAAGAAAGATGGCGGCCCCCTTGCTGGAGCAACTGTCGGAGTCTTTAGGTTCCCCGGAACCAGCGATTCGACTCATTTTATCTATTTTAATCGGTGAGTTTCTACCCACGATTCACTTACAGGTTGTTGTCGCGGTCATAGGTCATCACACCAACCTGTACGTTAGGTGTGAGCTGCTCCTGTGGTGGTGTAACTGTTAAATAGTTTCAGCTAACATAACGCTCACTCAGCTGTGACACTATCCAGTTATCTGTCGGGCTGCTGGTGTTGGTAGCGAAAACATTAGCTTTATATTTAAATTTCAGGCTGCCCCTCAAACAGTAGCTTTATTTCCAGGAAGCACACACCCTCAGAATAGTTTCCTGCACAGCCTCACCACAAACGGCTAACATGTGGCTTTCAGCTGAACTACATTCATTTTCTACCTGTTGGGACTGCCTAACGGGAAGCTAGGATTGTGCAGCAAAATGCATTCTTCTGCCCTTTTTTTGGAGCTATGTGTGGCCTGCTCGTTGTTGTATGGGATTGGGATTTTGGGGGCACCGAGGTCGACAATAATAGCTGCAGTGTTGTTGGGAGGGAGAAGCACAGGCTGCCAAAATATGCCCCCTTACTCCCCTTTTTCCACACAAAGCTGTGCAGAGAGGAGACACACTCTGAGGAGGGAGCTGAACACTGGAACAAGTGCTCAATTTCATTTGACAAGTCTAGCTTTACATTTGTTGGTTTAGTGCTTTGGGATTAACACATAGCACTACTTTAGAGCTGTCAGAGGTGTGTGTGTGTGTGCGCGCGTTCACGTGTAGTTGTCCTTGTGAGGACCAGTTGCAAACCTTGGAATTGTAAGGACATTTTAGCTGGTCTTCTTTTTTCCAACCTTTTACCTGTTTTGGGTTCAAACTTAAGACTATGTTGCTGAAGCTGTGCAGGGGAACGTGTGGGTCCTCACCAAAATAAGCCCTATGTGGGTGTGTAAATGGTGTGGGGGAGGATGCTCCACACTGTCCTTGCTGAACTTTGCTCCAACACATGGACACGTCTGTTTTCCCTCGCCTGACTCCAGCCCTGCTATAGACTGAAAGAAAGGGGCTATTCAGACGAGTCTTTGTTTGGAAACTTGTCACCTAACCTGTTGCACGATCCCCGGTCCTGAAGTTGCTTCATGTGCGTTGCTTCAACAGCTGCACACTACAACGAAAGTTGCCTCATCTGTTCCATTCTTGTGCATCCTTTTGTGTGTAGGTCAAGTAACTTATAATAAACTGCTGTGTAGGACATCACAAAAGTTAAAACTTTTCCTTAATGGGGCTTTTGGTTTCTACTTGAAGCATGTAGGATTTTACATTCAAGGGATTCAACGGCTTTTCACCCGATTCTTCAGATTGCAAAAGTTTAAAAGGATAAAGCTGGTGCTATTACTTACTTTTCTACAAATACCCCTGAAAAAAACAATGTGTTAATCTGTCTTTCAGTGCTTTCTGACTTCCTTACCCCATCTGTGGCACTCGGCCCAAAGTTCCTTTTGGTCCTCCTGGAGTCTTTGGATTAAACAGATCAGTGGTGTGCAGTTTAATTTTTAAACTCTTAAGCCACCAGACACTGGAAGCCAATGTTTCTCTCACAGAGGTGTATAAAGTACAGCTTAGTATTAAACTGCTGCTGTTATCAGATGGTAGTAAACGTGTATGGCAGCAAGATGTTGCGTGTTCGGCTTAATAAAAGTATAACCAGAATGTAGGCTTGATATAAAAGAGCAACATTGTCACTGCTACGTTAAATTCCTGAAGCTTTGAGCTGAGCTAGCCAGGTCCTAAAACATACCCTGTTTGTCCTCCATGTTTGCCTTTAATAAGCACCATAAACACAAAGTGAATGCCGTGTTGTAGGGCAGAACAGGAACAAGGTTTGCATGTTCTCCTTGTACGTGTGTGCTTTTTCCTCGGGGTACTCTGGTTTCTCATAGGTGATTCTAAATTGATCATGTTGACCATACGTGTGTTTCTGAGAATGTGTGGTTGTCTGTCTCTTTGTTAGCTTTGCGATGGGCAAGTGATTGGTTTCATGTGCATCTCACCTTTTTGGCCTTTAACACCTGGGATAGGTTCCAGCTCCCACAGCCCTAAATTAGCCTGAGCAAATAGATGGATACAAATGATGCTTTAAAAAGAATCTGAGGTTAATTTTACCCCAGAGTTCTACAGTCGGACCGCTTCTTGCAGCCAGCAGTTGCCCCTTGGTAGCCAATTTAAGGCACTTTTGCCTTGGCTTCACTCTTCAGACACTGTTTACTGGAATATTTTTTTTTAATTGCTTGAGATTACATTTTGCAATAGTTGCCACAGCACCACAGAAGGACCAGCCAAAACAAATAGATGACCTCGTTCCTAAACGAGGGGCTTCCTCTGTAGCTTAGACATGGTTCGATTATGAAAAGTCAGACACAGAGCAGAAAACCGTACTTGAGTTGCTGCAACTTCTGCAGAAAATTGGTCCCCACCACAGACACTGACACAGCAAACCTCTTCTACCACCTTAACAAAAACTGTGTATCGAGTACAAATAAGAAGCAAGAAGAGCCATCAGGTCGTCTGGTGACCTGCCCGGGATATTCCCTGTCACAGGTGGGATAGGTTCCACGACCCAGAATTAGACTAGTAATTAGTGAAATGAATATGTGGATATCCTGACTCGGTCTGAATAAGAACTTTGAGTTTATTTGTTTTTGTGGGTTTTATTTTCTGTTATTTTTTTTGCTATGAAAGTGGATGGATGGACTTGATCTTTGCGTCTCACAGATTACAGCTGACACAGATGGTGGTTTGCTGTTATTCATTATCCTTCAAATGCAGAGAAAAAGTTAACATGCAGAAATTTTTCAGTTTGTAGCCTTTTACATTTCAGATTTATATCATATAAATATCTTTACGTTTTTGTTACCTCACCTCAAAAGGGTTCACGCTATATAAAAGAATTGGTCTTTCGCCGTGGAGGTAATCTCTCTCCTTGAGATGCCTGACTTCTCACAACGTGGCACACAAACCCACCAGTGTTAGTTATGCGCTACCTCACGTCATGTGTTTAACCTAGAAGGTCGGTGCTAGCGCCAGGAGAGATTAAAAGTAGCCCACTCGGCTGATATGAAGAACCACACTCTAATTCCCATTAACATATTTTCCTGTTTCTCCTTGTGTGTTCTGCAGGGTATCCCTTTGCTGTGGTGTACCGGTCGTTCTTGTTCAACCAGACTCCCACAGTTATCCATTTATTCCACACGTTCTCTGGATTGGCTCTAGCAGCATTCAACTTTGGTGAGATGAAGTGGCATGTCTCCAAAGACCTGATTTATCTTTTATGATTTGAAGTGAATTGCTCTCATGTATGTTTATCGTAAATGCATAAAAGGATCTATACATTTGCTGTTATTAACCAAAACGTGGTATCTGTGTCTCTTACATCTAACAGTCTGTTGATTGTGCTCTTTTTAGAGATTTGTTTTTAACCTGATTTTGAATTCTGTATTGTTAACATTCCTGTTGAATCGCTGACAGTGATCTTGTTCCTTTATTTTGGTTAAGCTTTTCTGTGTTTCTTTTTTGTGTAATTGTAACAAATAGCAGTCTGAGGATGAATCGAGCCAGAATTTCTAAGGTTAAGGCTCTCAACATGTTTTCAGGATGTTCAGAGTCAAGTTGTTTTATCTGTTAAGTCAATCATTGCTTTTTTTAAAATTTTTCCAACAAGAAAAAGGGCGAAATTATTCAGTTTTCTATCATCTAACACTAGAAAAAGTTTGGCACTGTGCCTGGGACGGGACTGGCGTGGGATAAAACAATGAGCAAATTATAAAAGTAGTTGCAGAGTAATCTGAATGTGAATTGAGTAGGAATATTATAACATTAAAAAATGTTTCTAATTTCGAGTGATGCTACCCTTTTTAATTCATTTTACCGGTATTAGAGTTGTTACATTTACTTATGATTATTTTGATGGTATTATCATTTTCTCCATTACTTGCAAATCATAATTTGCAGCTGTCAGGTTTACTCTGAAATTGAACACATTTATTATTTCACACTGAGGAAAAAATCGGAGGTGTGGACATGTTGAAGTACGCCTTAAAATTGCAGCTGTCCAAATTTATGACTAAGAACGGAGACACTTTGACTTAAAAAAGAAAAAAGGAGAAGCTGGACTTGAACAGAAAGCACTTTTGCCTCATTTTCTTTTAAATGCAGTGCGGTTTGAATGCCTCTTTTAAAACCACACTGACGCTTTTATGGATTAGTCATCAAGTTTTGTCAAGTCACAGGGAAGTAAAACATCCCCCCCTTCAGCTATGACAGTAGATTGATTTCCTGTATGTAACCAGCTTTGTTACCCGTGTGTAGCATATGATGCAGCGAGCTGCCACTTATTATTAAAACATACCTGGCAGTTGTTTTCTTGCTCCAATCAGTAGCAATAAAAAGCTTCTCAGAGCCCAAGGTGATCCACCAATTATTGGACAAGTAAAAATGCCAAAGCATCTCAAATGCTCGACGCAGTTATTTGATGTTCTTCTTTGCCTTCATAAAATAGTAAACTGAGTTAACATTTTTTAATATTTCAATATTTTTGGAATAAAACAAAAGAGATTACATTTACATTTTACATTTTCTTGTTTATGTTTTTCAAAAATAAAAAATACAAAACTGAAAATAATCATTAGTTGCAGCCATTACATTATTATTAAAAGAAAACCAGCTCGTATTCAGTCTGATAACTAATAAACAACACGTTATTTCAGGCAAACAGAAAGCTCATCAGGACAAATGTCAAACTCATAACACTCAGTGTACCTTTTGTAGACCAGTTTTTTTGGCACATCCACTTTAAAAAGCATAAAGTTTATACCTCAACTACCACAATATTTATAAATAATTAATACTAAGAAATAATCCAGGCTGTAATTTCCTGTGGCAGCAGCAAGGTCTTCTGCACCCCCTCCTGTCCACCACAGTAGGCTGTTTGTACCCCCAGTGGGGCCTGCCCCTCAGTTTGAGGTCTGTTGCTGGTAGACCAAGAAACTGAGTGGCTTGTGCTTGCTGTTGGGAGAGTGGTCTGCTGGAGTAGTAAACAAACTGCCAACATTGATTTCTTTCTCTTTTCTTTATTTTGTTGTTGCTGCACTTGGATTTTACAGCAGGTCTGTTGCTTTACCTTTCTCCTCGAGTTCGTTTCAAGTCAGATGTTGTCATGTCATCGTCTTGTTGTCCTCTCTCTGTCTCTGCCAATTCTCAACTGTAGAAGAAGAACACTGTTGTCATGTCACACTTGACTACACTCTCCATTTCCCCCCACTCACCGTGTCCGTCTCTTTTTCTTTTTCCAGGCTCTCAGCTCTATCACTCCGTAGTATGCGTCCTTGTCCAATTTCTGATGCTGAGGCTCATGGGAAGGACGGTAACAGCCATCCTGTGCAGCTTTACCTTTCAAATGGTGAGGTTTTATTGGGTTTATCTCTGCACTGCTAGTTTTCTCGCAGGTACTAAATTGTGATTCAGGCTTACTTTGTAGCACCAGCCCCCTCCTTTATCCGCAGGACGCTTTTAATGCAGTTTGTTCCACAAGTTTAAAATCTGATTTCTTTATCTGCATTTTCTGGTCTACTCTTTGTCTTGTTGATGTCTAACTACTGTTTGTTCCATTTATTGAAGTAGGTCTGTAATCTTACAACACATTCACACGCTTCCTGTAAGGAAGTGGCACTTTTTACATGCTTTATGATGCCCATAGTCTGACAAACTACGAGTACGTTCATAAAAAGAAATGTGCCAACTCTATTTTCAAACTTTAAGCAGCTTCCTGTGAGTCCTTTCTTTCCTCAGGTTTTCTGTAAATCTAAAAAAATAAAACAGCTGCTCACCCTATATCTGATACCTGAATGCCATCTTCCTACAGTTATACCTACTAGCGGGGTATTATTACACAGCCACAGAGGAGTATGACATCAAGTGGACTATGCCACACTGTGTCCTCACACTTAAACTTATCGGTGAGTTGATGTAGCCCAGTAATCGTTTTCCTTTTTTCCTGCCGATGTCATTACAACCTCCTGAAAGGCTGCACGCGGGGCCTTTACATGCTTTAAGCTGTTTTTAATCAAGTGCTGCTGACAGTAACGGTGCCTTTACCATAGTCTCATAGACAAATTTGTGTTTTTCTGATTGCAGGTTTGGCGTTTGATTACTATGATGGCGGGAAGGAACCAGTGAGTTATTGCTCTGTCTTGCTTTAGCTTAGAGGCTTTCTTAACATTTATCTTTGTTAGACCATGTAACAGTCATTTCTGTATTGGGTTTTTTGTGGGGGAGGGTTTAATCTCTGCATCAGCAGAGTCACGTCTCTAAGTTCGTTTTTTTTGTTTTGTTTACACGAGCAGGGCTGTTTGCGTAAAAAGTTAATTATAGAAAATATTTAGTCATGTGAAAAAGACTTTTTCATTGTATGCTGTGCAGTCCTGTGGAAAAAGTTCACCCCGTGATTCAGCAGCTTGTAGAACCACCTGTGGCAAAAATAATTTGAAATGTTTGTTTTCTGTATAACTTTATCAGACTCTCACATCGCTGTGGAGGAGCTTTTTGCTGCGCTCTCTTTTTGCAACATTATTATAGTTCATTGAGGTTTGCATGCATTTGTTTATGCTTCTGTAAAGTCCCACCACAGCATTTCACCACCACCACCCTAGCACGCGGTTGAGGTCTGGACTTTGGGCCATTGCAACACCTTGATTATTTTCTTTTTCAGTGTAGATTTGCTTTGCCTGGAAACATCGTCCTTGGGCGATGTTTCCTTTAGCTGTCAGACACATGGCCTCACATTTGACTTTTTTTTTTTTTTTTTAAATCTGAAAAACACAGACGAGTTCATGGCCGACTCACGGACTTAAAAGTGCCCATGTCACGTGGCTGCAAAAAAGCCCAAATCGTTACACCTCCATTACTGTGTTTAGTAGTTGGCATGAGGCTGACGTTCTGCTTGTTTTACCTGTGCGTCTTGTGGTTTGTTCAGCTCTGACTTTGCAAGCCTAACCTGTGCCATCATGTTCTTTTTAGAGAGAAGAGGCTTTCTCCTGGCTTTCTCTTTCCAGATAAGCCATACTTGTTCAGTCTCTTCATAACCGTAGTGATACGACCTTTACGTTTAAGTTTCCCTGAGCATCTCGCAGTCTGACTTTGGGGTGAATTTAGTGAGCTGTCCACCTCTGGGAAGACTATGTTCTCCAGAATACCAGCCTACCCAAAGTCTCACTTACTGATGGTCTGTTAAATAAAGTACATTTGATTATCACCACGTGGCAGCTACTTGCCCTCTTAATTCACTTACACGTAAGGGTGTACTTAGTTAAATAATTATAGTAAAATAGGAAGTAATCAGAAATGCCTTTTGGTGCCTACAGGTTTCATACAGATGTGTAGCGAAGTAACCGAAGTAGACGGCAAACAATACGCCAGTGTTACAGTTTCCACGAGGGATATAGAGTTTATGATCAGAGGCGGAGCTGCATGCCTCTCCATGCCATTTTTATGACACTACACTACAGTGCACTCATGTGCTTTAGGCTTAATCCAGTGGGACTTGAGGCATAATGGGTACCAAGCGCCCAGTGTCCTCAGCAACATGAGGACTAATTGCAAAACAAACAATTGTTGCAATTGTAAGAAGTTGGTATATAGTAGTAGGACTGCCTCAGGCGCTGCAAAGCATTGGGCAGTTGGAAGCAGATATTCCTGTTACACTACTAAAACGACGTGAAACTAAAGGACTGAAAGCAGGTCTACCAGCAGCTCAAAGCGACATAATAAGAAATCTTTATAGTGGGGAGGATCTGCGCTGATCTTCTTCTCAGCCTTCTCTGCTTTATGTCTCACTTAGCTCAGGCTCTCTGTTAGCTCTGTACTGTGGTAGGCACTGTAGTGCTATCACTACAGTGGTTTTCTTCATGTTACTCCAGACTCATTAATGCGTCTCCCCATTTCCCTGACTTCACCTAACAGTCCATTAATAATCACGTTACAACAATAGGTGTTACTGTTTCCTCATTCCTTCGCTTAGTTTGAATTCTCTCTTTTGCTGTTGGCACATCTGTGATGGCTGTTAATTACCCACACTGCTCTCTCTTTCTAATCTGAGGATTTTTGCTTTTAACTCAGTTTTTATCTCTTATCTGCATCGATGTCATTACTCAGTACTGCAGCTGAATGCTAAGGGTCATACTCAAGTACACTGTTTACAGCCGTCAGCTGAATGTCAGTTAATGAGTATTTAGTGAAGCCCTATTTGTCTTTTATTCAATTTAATGTCTGCTAACCTGCCTTTATTCTGAGCCTTTTAATGTCCATTTTGTTTTTCCCTCTTGCTTACTTGCCACATCTTTAAATTCCAGTCCAAGCTGAGCGCAGAGCAGAAGGAGTCAGCTCTGCGGTCCGTGCCCTCGCTGCTCGAGGTGTGCGGCTTCTCCTACTTCTATGGCGGTTTCCTTGTGGGTCCCCAGTTTACACTGCGCAGCTACCAAAGACTTGTGGCGAGGGAGCTCACCGACTGCCCTGGAAAAGTTCCCAACAGGTTAAAGAAAAATGAATTGAACAATAATCCTTTATTAGATCTCTTTTAAAGGGGGGAAAGCAACTTCCCAGTATCAAAGCCCTTCAGTTAACATTATTAAAGTCTCTTTATCTCTCCTTATTTCTCTCAGTGTTGTACCAGCTATGAAGAGGTTTGCTCTTGGTTTCCTCTGCCTGGTGATATATGCGATATTTAGTCCTCATTATCCAGACAGCTACTATTTAACAGATGAGTATGAGGTGAGAACAGCAATGGCATTCCCAATAATCACGATATAAACAAAGAAAAGATTTCTTTTTTTGTTTTTGTTTTTTAATGTCTTAATTGCAAAACGATTTGCTTTCCACAGGCGCAGCCATTCTGGTATCGCTGTGTGTTCATTCTCCTGTGGGGCAAAATCATTTTGTATAAATATGTCAGCTGTTGGGTTATAGCGGTAAGTAGACTCTTGATCTTGAGCAAGTACCTCATTGCAAACAACTAAAAGCTAATAAAGCTTCAATAATGTGAAACTGCAGAAGGTGTCGGCAGTATCGCCAGTTTTGCATGCATTCATACATTTCTTTAAGGCACACCTCATTTAGCGTGAAGTCCCAGTTAATCAGGTTTGTGTGCTTCATGGTGTGATCTTACATGAGCCAGTAAAGTGCACGCTTTATGTGTTACAGGAAGGTGTATGCATATTAACTGGACTGGGATACAATGGAGTAGTGGATGGTAAGCACCAGTGGAACGCGTGCGCCAATATGAAGGTGTGGCTCTTTGAGACGACGCCACTCTTTGGAGGAACCATTTCTTCTTTCAACATCAACACAAACGCCTGGGCTGCCAGGTCAGTGTGCAGTCTGAAATCTGAGACGTTCTCTAGCTGGTATGCAAAGCCATGCTATAAAAGTTAAATATTTGCTTGGATGATAATGGGTAGAGGGAGGAATAACAGCCCAATCCAATATGCATACTTGCCAGTCTGTCAGTAAATGAATAAATAAATTACCAAAGCCTCTGCCTTTCTGCTGTTTAACAATAAAAGAATCCTCACACAGGTGGGTGAAGGCATGCTGGGAGGATTTTAAAACTTTGCAATTAAAGACAATTATTGACAGTTTTGGTGCTGAAGATTCATGCGTGAAATTCTTTGAAAGCGTGTCAGTTTTACGACAACCGCCGCAGTGCGCAAAGCAATTTACTGAACATACAGTTTATTTCATGCTCTGTTTTAACAACATTAACCAACCCACGCTTACTTTCTCTTTCTACTCCACGACACTCCTTCAGATGTAGAGTGGCAGTAGAAACGGGCTCAAATGGAAATTAAAGTGGCTGGGATGTAGAAATGCAACCTATAAAGTCAATTAGGACTTAAGGGGGTATTATATTGGAGCTAGTTGATGGAGCGTTTTCAGGCATTTGGTAGATGTATCACAGGCTTGACATTTGCTGGGCTCATTGTGTAACCTATAAAGGAAGTCGTATTTTTAGCCTAAAATGCACCACTTCTGAGTTACTCCTGGCGCACACATGAGAAGTTTTAATAATGAAAGGCTTCAGATGCACTGGTTAATGTGAGGCTGTGTTATGCTGATCTTTTTGAGGGGTGTGCAGTTAAATTCATGAAAGATGCAAGAAGTCACAAACCTTAGGGAAACGAAGGCGAAAGGTTCAGCGTTCTCATACGCGTATAAAATATTTATACAGAAGGGTCGTCTGAACATATGTTAAGTGTTCAGATTCAGAAGTGCCACACTGCTAGGCAGAAAATGTCAGGCTTTAGGTTTTAATTTAGAACAAATAACGGGCGACCGTGGCTCAAGAGTTGGGAGTTTGCCTTGTAATCGGAAGGTTGCCGGTTCAAGCCCCGGCTCGGACAGTCTCTTCACCTACCGCCTACTGGTGTTGGCCAGAAGGGCCGATGGCGCAATATGGCAACCTCGCTTCTGTCAGTCTGCCCCAGGGCAGCTGTGGCTACAACTGTAGCTTGCCTCCACTAGTGTGTGAATGGGTGTGTAAAGCGCTTTGGGGTCCCTAGGCGGGACTAGTAAAAGCGCTATACAAATACAGGCCATTTACCAAATAAAGAAAAAAAAAAACCTCCAGAAAAATCCTCAAAATAAAATGCTAATTGGAGTTTCAGTCCACTACTGTGGTTTGAATATATACACATGCAGCAAGGTCATGTGCTTATGAAATGAAGCCAGTCTGACCTGAAATGATTTGAAAAAACACCGTGCATTATACTACAATCATTGGTGTCTTCATTGCGCCACACAGATCTGGGGTTTAGTCTTTGTGGTGTTGTTTGTTTTTTTTCTTTTCTTTTTTTTTTTTTTTTTTCCCCCAATTGCTACAAGTGTATATCTGTCCCATAGACCCTATAAGTGAGATCTACATAGCCACTGTGACATCACCTTTTGGTTTGTGGTTCACAAGTTCAAGTCTTAAAGATAACAATTTGCCCTTTGCTATCTTTAATGTTCTGCTGCCAGAGGTGACTGTATCTGGATCACATGGTGGATTCCTGCCTTAGCCAACAGTAGCAGGTTTAGCTAGTAAACTTTATGAGTGTCTGACACAGACTAATAGTAAGCTAGTAAAATGTAATTTCAGTGACTTAACTGAAGCACAGACTTCTTGGAAAGTGTTGCGTTTCTTGGGGGGGGTTGTGTGTGTTTTTAAGAACACACAGGAAAGCCTGTTACACCTGCTTGTGTCAGGACTTGTGCTTGTGTAACTACTCTTTTAAGACTGTTTCACCCTCTGTACGGGTGTCACAAAGGAAGAAGTAGCAAAAGAATTGACTGTTTGTTGTCACGAACCTTCATGTGTTTGGATTTTTGTTCATTAAGGAAGTGTTGAGTTTTCAGCTTTGGTATCATTTTTGTCACTCCCAGTTGTGACCATCGTTCCTTCAGTTAACATCATTGTTGCTAACCTAGTTAGCTTTAGTAAAGTTTCAAAGACTTTTTAGATACTTCTTAGTTCGGCAGGCTGAAGGACCAGCATATGCCATGGTAAGATGTCCGTTGTCGGTCGGTCAGTCTGTCAGTCAGTCGTTTGTCCACAGTTACTGCTCCTCTACAGCACTGGTCAGAATTTAAACAATTAACTTTTGGAAACTGGGACTGTTGTCGAGGTCTTCACCAATAAACTAAACTCTCCTATAAGCTTATTTGTGTGGCCCTCCACAACAGTCCCAGTTTCTCGTGTGGCCCCTTGGGGAAATTAATTTTCCAACCCTGATTTAAGTCTTTACCCATATTGTGGTCAAGGTTGCATTTACAATAAACTGAACTGTGAATGATTGTGAACTGGATGGGCTGCTGCATCACTGATGTTCTGATTTCTTGTTACTCTGTGCGTCTACAGTCTATAGACATTACTGGCTGTCATGCAAGTTCTTGCTTATTTCACTGAGTGGCACATCACTGCCAACCTCCCAACCATCATTTTTACCACTTCTAGCTTTCTCTGAGTGACCTTTGGAAATGTCAGTCTATTCAAAATCACAGCATGGCCCTTATTTTAACATTAGATAGGGTCCTTAGTATAAAATCAGACACCTGTGTCCCTCCAGCTAGCCAAAGCTTTGAATATTCAGTTACTATTGGATCCAAACAGTATTGTGTCCTGGTATTCACGATCACTCAGTTCGTGTTTGTGCGATTGACAGTGGGGAGGATGGATGCTGTTAAATATCTGATTATTATCAGCTTTTACACAGCACCACCTCATGTACCCCCTGGTCTGGTCCTGTTCCATTCAGCTAACACTGCAGCTTCTCACCTGTATGCAGTATAGAAGAAGAAACTCTGGTTCGAGGTTTGATTTTTAAGTTGTTATAATGTTCCAGTTTGGGTCACAGTTAGTCCTTTTAGTACAGGACATAAAGTTGTTGGGTTTTAATATAACTCAGTTGCTATGCAACCACAAATTCAAGGTGAATGAGTGCTCGCCAGCGTGACAGCTGATGCATTAAGCATGTTTGGCAGCCTGGATTTCCGGTTAAAGAGATAATCTATAACTCTAACTTCTTTATAAGAGACTAAATGAAAGACGCGCACAGTTAAAGGTTTATTTAACCTGAAAATGTCACACTGACTAAATCTAAAAATCTCAGAAGGATCAAACTAAGCTCCATCAGTTTCTTTTCACACTTCTTATTCCAGGTGCCTGGGTGGTGGAGCCCATCTCAGCTGTGATAGGTGGGGATAGAACCCGGACACTATTATAAGAAATGGGTTGTCCCCTAAAGAGGTCAATCAAAGAAAACACCACTAAAAATGATGTTTTGTTATTAAAACAGGAACTTGAATTTTAAAGAAAAAAGGGAGAGCTCAACCAGCAGTCATTATTAGGTACACCTCTACTCTACTACCATGGTGTCATCCCCTTTTAGACTTTGGTATAGATTCAAGAGGGTGCTGGAAACATTTCTCAGAGATTTTTGGTCCATTTTGACATGTTAGCATCATAGTTGCTGCAGAACCAGTACCGCTCTGTGGCCCAGAGTTTGGGAACTGCCATCATAGAGGATTTTTGTGGTAAAATCCCAGTAGATCAGTAGGTGGTTTTATCCACCTGTATAGATCTATTTTAACCAGCACACCCTCAGACTCCTCTTTCGTCTAACGGGGAATGACTGGAACAGCAGATATGTAACTCAAAGACAGAAAAAAGTAATTAAGAGAGAGAGAGTGTGTGTGTGTCTGTCATCTTTTGAAAATAAAGTGCTGTGTCATAAAATGAGTCGAAATGAATTAACTAAAGTGAGCGAAGTAGTTGGTAATGTGGTAGAAACCATGAACCTGTGTGTCCAATTTGTGGAAAGTGGATGAATATTCACAAATTATTGTTTAATTTGTGGTTGTGGATACAGCCAGCTCATTTTATTATTGTTTTTTTCCTCTTCCTTCCTCTTTACAAAGACATGTGTTCAAGCGGTTGAAGTTCCTGGGCAATAAGACTTTATCTCATGTGGCCACGCTCTTCTTTTTATCGATTTGGCACGGCCTTCACTCCGGGTACATCCTGTGCTTCTCCATGGAGTTCTTCATCATCACCGTGGAGCGACAGGTCAGTTACCCAGTCCCAGCTCTGCACCCTGTAACTCGAGCTGCACGTTTTACTCAGAAAGTAGTGATTGTGCTCTGTATAAACTGAGAGTGTTGCATTTAATGTCTATTGATTACAACTGTGGCATTAGCTCTGTTATAAACGGAGTGGTGATGCTCTTATTGAATCTACAATAGTCTGCTACTATTGATTAAATGCACATTACTAATGAGAATAATTGTGACTTAAGGTTATAGATTCATTCTTCTATCTTGATGTAACCTGTGTGTGTTTGTGTGACAGGCCCAGGCACTAGTAAGGGACAGTCCTGTGCTGACAAAGCTGGCCAACAGTGCACTCTACCCACTCATCTATGTAGTCCAGCAGTTTATCCACTGGCTCTTCATGGGGTATCCTCTAGTGGCATTCTCCATCTTCAGTTATGACAAATGGCTCAAGGTAAATCCAGAAGTCACAGTTCTCTTGGTTCCTTCTTTCACTTCTCTTTGACTTACCATTGACTTAGGGCAGCATTTCATGCATTTTAGCCGCACGCTGAACAGGAAGTTTCAACTATAACATGTTATTTTTCAAGTCAATTCTCTTTAAATACAATTTGGAATTTAACTGTGCTGAATAGGTGAAAATTCCCTGTAAAGGTGTAGATGTGAACCCAACCCTACCTTCGGTCTTTCAATCCTACTTCAGTGGATTTGTGGTGCCACATTTGTGTCCGTGGATCAGTGATTCTCAAACTCTTTTTATCAAGCCCTCAGTTAAGATAAGAATATTCTCCATTCAAACCCACAGATATTTGTGACAGAACCACAGTTTTATGAATCCTATCAATAAAAAATAATAGCATATGAGTATAATGATCATAATAGCACGAGTTAACTTTTGTTTCCTTTCCCTTAGGCACAAAAAATCATTTATTCAAATTAGTTCCACTCATTATTTTTCATATTTGTCCACACCCCACCTGCAGCGATTCTGCGTCCCACCTGTGGTGGCTGTGCTACGGGTGTTTGTATTTGGCTATGCAAAGTCAAGCTATCAAATATAGATGTGCTCACATGCTGTCCTCAAAAAAATAACAAACAAAAAACCCTCGATGGTAGAATGCTGATTTAGAGAGCATAGTTGTCCACAAAGGAAAGGGAGTGGCAAAAATGATCAAAGATCAGAAAAGCAGGATGAGCAGCTGCAGGGAGCGGTGTTCATTATCTGAAACACTGTTTCACTTCACTGTGTTTGTGCTGTTGTGGGTCCCTTAGCTTAGCTCCTGATCAGAGGACAGTAGTCTCAACAGACAGTCCATGTGTGTTTGACACTGCCCCCTGGTGACGGTACACAGCTACAACATTTAGATGCGGGTATTCAAAGTTCTGTGTAGGACTAAAGTTCAACCACATCAGTCCCTTAAAGCATGCCGTGTATGAACATGTGCAATATTATCTTAATATTAAATGCTTAATACACACTTTGAGCCACAAAGGCTGCTATTTTTTAGTGTGCAGTGATCTTTGGATTTATGATATTAACTAGTTGCTGTGTTTACAAAGTTGCTGTTTGTGACATACCGCTGTGCTGCCCCGATGGCGGAAAACCTGACCACGTCTGTGTCTGTTTAATTTTTCTGCAGCGTTTCAGCAGCAGCCAATAACAAAACCTTAAGTACTGCACTGAAAGCTCTTTTGTGAACTCGACCCCGGGAAGGTCATTTGTGAGGAACACAAACACGATTTTTGTTTGTGCCATTTCACATCTTTTGTTGTGCAACATACAAAGCACCTCAGACTAGAGGAGAACCGGAGGCGGTGAAGTTTAAACTTGAAGGCTTATCGGGTGCTAAAAAACTGCAGCTATTCATGATGCAACGATTGGCACTTTTTCGGTGTGTTGTCACATTGTGTTACAGCAAAAAGTTTCAAGTTACTATTCTTGCCAGACAACCGTGTGTGTGTGTGTGGTGCTGGTGGGTGTTTGTTGTGTGTTGTTTTTTGTTTTGTTTTGTTTTTTCTCCCCCCCCCCCCCCCCCCCCCAAGAGGCCTCCGTGTCAGAACTCCCGCTGCGTCGATGAAAAGAAAAGCCACTGAAAAGACTGATGGGATTGAATTTTCGTCTTTCTTTTCTGTACTGCCTTAAAGGAGATTTATAAGGAACAGTCAGCAACAAAGCACAAAAAAAGCATTTATTTAGGAAATGGAGTGGCTAAGTGGGTTACACAGATGGTCTGAGAGCTGGAAAGCAGCCAGGCAGGTTTCAGCAGAGAGAAACTGAGAGTTGCACGTGCAGGTTGTGATTTGACTGTTCCATCTTCTTTCTCTTTCCCCCCTCAGGTGTATTCTTCTGTTTATTTCTGTGGTCACCTATTCTTCCTAGTAGCATATTTAATAATGCCATACCTCCGTAAGGCGCTGGTGCCTAAAAACGAGGGGAGAGAGAAGAAGCAGGAATAAGACTTGATACTAAAACTTGGCGTGGTAAGCAAACTTGAACAGCTTTGCTAAGCAAATAAAGACATTTCAGTTGTGCGTGGATTGGTTTTTAACATGTCTGTTTCCTTCAGGTCCATCCATCGTTGAGACTGAATACTCACTTAAGGGAACTGCGACTTCCAAGGAGCAGAACGGAAAATATTTTAAGGCCTTTTAGTAATATATGTCCATGTTTGAAAAGAAAAAAATAAATAAATTTCTATATATTTTTGTGTTTCAGGCGGGGAGGGTGTTTTTATAAACATTTGGAGAGATGTTTACAGGAAATTACCATTGTGCCACAGGGGTTTAATTGTGAGCCAGTCAGGAGCAATTTCCTGTTTTTTGTCTTTTCTTTTTAAAATTTCACCACGTGGGACTCGTTTGCTGTCGACACAGAACTGCACACGCTCACAAGTCATGGGTTCAGAGTCTGTTTTTGGCTTTTTGTTTTTTTTTTTTTTTTTTTTTTTTTTTTTTTTTATAAATGCGTTCTTTATTTCACGTCCACATTGAGCAGGAAGTGTGAGCACACATGTGGCACTTTCTGATGTTGTGCTACGACATGTATAAGAAGATGGATGGTAATCATCATCATCAGGGCTTCTTCTTTCTAAATGGCTGCCAGTGGTTATACAAGCACTCTAAATCACACACTGTACACTAACACCCAACTCTAAATGGCCTTGTATTAATGAATGTTTTTACAGTACATTTGTTCTGGATTTAATTTGATTTGTTATTGGGGGCGGGGGTAAAAAATTGAATTTTATAAAGTTAACATGTTTTCTGAAAATGAACTTTTTTGTAGCTTTGGATAAGATTTAATGAAACGATTTGCATTGTTCTCCAGCCTTTCCTCAGTGATGGTTTTCTTCTCGCCACATCTCCTCTTCTCCCTCTGTTCTGTTTACGCCAATCTGTCTTTCTGTCTGCCTCGATTCAAGCCCCTCGACTCTGAAAATGCACAGTTGTGAAAGTGAACAGCCCTACACTCACTACAGTTAATTGTTTTGCTTCTTTTGGTGTTCTGATTTTATATGAAAAGGGGGAGAAACAGGCTTTTTTTTTTTTTTTTTTTTAAAAGAGGGGGGTGCAATTTTCTTTTTTTGAACTGGAAGCAAACTAATAAAATGGTGTTTTGGGGGGGGGGCGGGGAGGGGACAGTCCTGGCTACTAAGCCTCCTTTATTCTAAGGGGTGGGGGGGCTGTTATGTCTGATCCATGCATTGCTGGAGAAAGGCCTCTGCCTCTGAGGCCGGTGCACACACACACGCACACCCATGGAGAGGACGAACCTCGCTGTAACGACAGCCCAGATTTTTGGTAATATTTATACATGACACAGTGATTATTAATTGATGTGAACTGCTATTCCAAGAGACTTCTTCATGCCTTACTCCTAAAAGATGTAGAAAGGAACAAAAAAAATGTATGTGGCAAAGGAGATGGGGAGGATAATTATTATTATTTTTTTGTAATGTTAAATAAAATGCTGCTTTCAACCTCTGGCTGTAGTTCATTAGTTCATATGTTTGTGCTTTCATGTGCCTTACAGGGGCAAAAGGGGGGTGACATGACGTCATTTTGCAGTGTGGACATGGGAGGTTTGTGTGGCAAAACTAATGATCCGAAAATAAATCTTAACAGAAAAAAAAAAACCTATGGGGCAGCTCGTGTGTTACTCATCTAACCATGATGCTACTGCTGGAGTTTATTTTTATTTGTTGGAGGGGGGGGATAAACGTGATGAGATGGATTGCTGTGTTGAGGTCTGAGTCACTCTCAATGTGCGTTCAACAGCAAAAAACAGCCAGAGCAGCAGTCTGGTACGGAGCTGGTGGGGGCCGGAGAGAGAGAGATGGAGAGGGAGAAGGACGCAGTGTGGGCGGGTTAAGAAACGCCGAGAGGGAGGGGACGTCAGCGTAATATTCCTACCGTCTTTTTTTTGGTCCCGTTCCTCCTCCGTAGAGCCGAAAAAAGAAAAAAAACAAGGGCATCCATCGGTGTCTTCATCCTCCTCGCATCTCATCACACAGCCTTGGAGATTAACCCTCCTGTCCGGGTCTTGGGTTGTTGAGAACATCCGCCTGTGTGCGTCTCCACCTGGAGGACTGGGTCGTTTGCAGCCTGCGGGGGGATTGCCGTGCTGTGCCGAGCGGCAGGGGCGTGAGAGGCGGATGCTGCGAGCGTAGAGGCAGGGTACCAACCAGGAGCATCACCGCACTCAGCACGGTAATGTCAGACCTGCAAGTTTCTGCTCAAGCAGACCTTCATTTCTGCGACATTCAGCCTGCTCGGGTTCCCGATGCGATGTCTGAACACGGCTATCGGCAGCCATGTACCCGGAGCTGTGTAGTAATGTGTGTCAGTGCAGGCAGGCTGTGATATAAATCGGCTGCAAATTGTCGCATAGTCGCATGTTTCTGCTCCTGAATGTGTGTGTTTGTGTGTCTAGCCTTGAACAACCTGTGACCAGATGGACTCTTCTGTGATATATTTCCGCCTCCTTTTTTTTTTTTGGTTTAATCTGTGCTGTCCTGTAGCTTTTCGAGGACTGCAGCAGTGAAGGTGAAAACATAATAGAGGTTTCTTATATCAGGTTAGGTTGGGGGGGGGAAATGCAGCTGCAGCCACATCTGAAGAATGAGTCCTTGAGGGGTTTTCAGCTCCAACAATCCACAATGAAAACCTGGGAAAACACCCACACTGCCACACACACACATGCCACCTTTTCTCCTGACACACACTCCTGAGCAGGTATGCATGTGATCCACAGGCTATCCTGGGCTCTCGAGCTGAAACCACGCCACTCTCGTGATGGTGAACAGCTTCTCGATCGTTCATGTTCCTCCTTGTGTAGCCTCTTTTTTTTTCTTTTTTTTTTGCTGTGTAGGTCTTACATACGTGACTCTTGCACAGTGATGTTTTTGCACACACAGGCAGCACCAGTTGATAGGCCTGATCTGTCTCTGTCTTGTTACTGTTCCTGTCTCCTCTCACTGCTGATCAGTTGTTGATGCATGTACTGTATTCCTCCCCCTCTCTCCTCACCCCCACCCTGTTGCCCCTCTCCCCCCTCCTTTTTTTTCCTTTGCTCCCTCAGATGGACAGAATGAATTTTCTCTCCTTCCTCCTCCTTTGCTTGACTTCGGTTGCCATTGGCAACAAAGGTCAGTTCCTCATCCTTTTGACTGTTAATTGTGAAGTATTGAGATGATGGTTTTGAGGCAGGACCGTGGCTGTTTTGGCCCGAACTGTTCCTTTATTTACAGCTTCGACGCCTCGCTTGTTCAGCAGCACGTCTGAGCCCTCATACATGTTCATGACCCGGTGTGTCTGTGTCGCCTGTGGTGTGACTCTGAGAAAATTATAAATCTGTTCCCCCGCCTATAGCAGATTTATCATTCTGGAGAAGCATGACTCTGCTTCAGCATCATTGTTCCTGTGATTATCGTGTTGAAGGAAAGGCGGATGAAACGGGCGGAGGGAGAATGTCAGAGGAGAAGAAGGTAGAGGAGTGGAAACGCAGGGAAGATGAGGAGATTGAAGGAGATGGAGTGTCAGAGAGATGGGGAGGTGTGGTGGGAGGGGGGTGTTAGGAGAGAAAGAGGAGAAGGAGCTGTGACAGGAGAGGACGTGCCGAAAAGATCCATGCTGATAAGTGGGGGGTGGGGGGTATAGAGAGGTGGTACGTGAGATCAGGTGACACGAGGGAAAAGAGAAGAGGAAAAGTGTGAGAGACTGGGCTATTTCTGTGTGTGGGTGAGGAGGGGTGGGTAAATGTTGTGGAGCGATAGAGTGACAGAGAGGGGAGGAGTGCCAGGGGACACAGAGAAGGAAGAGAGATGGAGTGAGCTGCCTCTCAATCTGTAATCCGGGATGTAATCCACAGGCCTGATGCTCAGATTAATGCTATAGCAGGGCAGGGCAGGGCAGGGGAGGAAGGGGGGATCAGCAGAGGGGACAGAGGGCAGGAGATAAATGACCAAAAAAGAGACACACCAGAGGACCATGGAAACAGAGGAGGAGGAGAGGATGAATGTCTTTGATTAGGGCTGGGTATTAAACCTCAGTATGTGTTTGGTGCCAGCTAAAATTGGTTTGAACCAGTTGGTGTTACAAACTGTCTGGCACGCTCACATTTGTGCTCCTTACTTCTTTTTTGCTCAGTAATTTTTCTTTTATGTCATATTAAATAATGAAAGGATGCATATATAATTTGGACAATTGTGAAAATGTAAAAATAAATAAATAAATAAAAACCTTCTATTAAAGTATATGTAGCTATCGCTGCAATTAATAATACTTTCATTGTCACATAATCTGCCTAATTTCTTGATTCATTTCTTGATATGTGGATTAATTATTAACCACTTAACTGCAAAAACACTCAAGACAAAGCAGCATAATGTCACACCCGAAGATGAAGGGGTTTGACAGAAACGGGCATATCTTTTTAAAAATAGTCTGTTTTTAGTCACGTCTTTGCATGCAGTTTCATTAAAGCACAACAAAACCTCATAAGCAAATTCAGTTTTAACAGAAAGCCCATTATAGCTGGTGAGTCCGAGCCCATTTTCAGATACAGCGACGGAGCGTGACAGGCTTAAATGAAAAATACATTACGGCGTGCTTTTTTAAAAAAGTGTAATAGCAAGTAAAATGGAAATACTTCCTCCAATGTTCTTAAGCTAGTTCGACAATAAAAAGCGTCTTGTGTTGTGAAGAATCAGAAAACTTTCACACGACACCCCGGCGCCGTCTCTGAAGGGAGAGCGGTGCGATCAGATTCAGAACCAGGAGCATTTTTCCTCTGTTCCCTCTCCTCTCTCAGACGAGACAGCAAAATTAGTTCTAGTCAGACTTTATGGAGAAAACTCACTGTGAAGACAACAAAGTGATTGCCAACAAAAGTCTGCCTGTGTCTGATTTCAGACTCTGTGTTAAGAGATTGAGGACAACAGAGGGAGGGCACTCCGGCTTTTGTTTTTGCTCTTTGCTGGAGTGTAAAATCATCATCCTTCTGGCTCATTAACTCGCCCTTTGATCACTCAGCACAGAACATTCAGCACCAGGATGAATAATTAATTTGCAATTAAAGGTTAAATTCAGAGTAAACCTGAGGCATTTGATTCTGACTCTGTTTTTTTTTTTTTTGTGAGGCGCCTGTGGCAGGTCAGTTTAGGTGATTGATATGAGAAGTATATTTCTGTGTGTGTGTGATAGGGAGAAATCTGACTGGCTTTAATTACACTGTCAGACAGGAAGGTGTGCAGAGTGGTGCTTGACATGAACAAGGGCAGGTGGTCCATGATGGAGAAGAAAAAAGGGGGTTGGGGGGCGAACTGTGAGATTGTGAACGTGCTCAGACTGTCTCACATCCATCGTGTATTTTTCCCACTCGTGCACACTCTCACCATGTCCTCACCCATAATGAAGAGTTAAAAATAGATGCATTGGTTCCTTCTAATTGCTCCATTTAACCCAAAGCCTCCTCTCTGTGCCGTTTAGCCAATAAGCACAAGCCATGGATCGAGACAGAGTACCAGGGGATTGTCATGGAGAACGACAACACCGTGCTGCTCAATCCCCCTCTCTTTGCCCTCGACAAAGATGCTCCACTTCACTACGCTGGTAACACCAACTGCAATAAGAAGCATGGAAGAGCATTAAGTTGATGCGAACATTTTTGATGTGAAGCCTGCGGTAAAATAGGTCAAATCATCTGCTCGAGTAGCCGGACCGAAATCATCTCACTGGGTCAAATTGGAAATGATGTGACTTTAATTTTATGAACAGATTGATGCTGCAGCTCTGAGGCCAGTTTGAGGTTTATTTATGTCAGTTTACGTACTTGAACTTTTACTAGTAAACACGAGTGCTCATTTTTCACTTCGAGATGTCAGACTGCTGCCATTTCCAGCCATATTTCCCAACAGACGGTCCTTATATTAAAAGCAATGCATTCAGTCACAGAGTCCACTATTTTTAGACCATCATAGTGTAATTCAACCCTTCGTTGCAGGAGCAGTCAGCGGCGCTCTGCAGCCTGATGAAATGAGGTTATCGTGTTTGCACTTGCAGACCTGGAAATAACTATGTTCAGTCAAATTATAAAAGATCAACTTAAATTACTCAGGGGCTCCCTGAAATTTATTGGACCCGTGTCAAGAATGAAGAGGAAATTAGCTGTTTGCGCATGAACCTTCGACTTATGTCAGCCAGGGAAGATCCGCTTCATTTTGAGTCGCAGCTGCAATCTGTTTCATTCTATTCTGATCATGACTCCCAGCGTGAGATAAAGTGCCACTTAAAGCAATATCTAGATAGTTATCGGCACATTTCTGGTGTAAGGATGGATGATGTGACCTACAATCTGCTGAATATTACAATAAATTGTCACAGTTGGTTCAATAATGTAGCACTGTGGGACATTTCCCGTCCCACTGTGGATCACGTGTGATCTGTTTGTCCTAATTTATGCAGTATAACTTATTTAAACTTGACAGTGGGTTGATTAAATTGAATTTTTGCTGCTGAAAACATTAAAATAACTGTTTGATTGAAGGAGATGTGCACAGTTTTTAGCAGAGATTCAAAGCTGGGAAGATACATTTGAACGGTGAAGCTTTTTTTCAGAGAACAGAGACGCCACGATCGCCTTCATTTTTAGTCTAGACTGGACCAGGGGATTTGCAGCAGAGCTGTGCTGCAGGATCTCAGGTGTACTGTGGAGGAATATAGTTCACAAACACTTAGAAACGTATGATGGAGTCACAGCGTGGAGTGCTTTAAAGATAACGAGTAAAGCTTAACCAATCAATGCTCATCAATCAAAGCTAAGCCAATGCAAAGCCGCTCTGTTTAGTTATGTAACCTCGCATTAGTGTAGAGTTCCCAATTCAGACAATGCTTTTTTCTTTTTAATAAAGAATTTAATAAATAAATCATTGATTCTACTATCTGTCGCCGCCCCCCTTTCCCTCACCCAGGTGAAATTTGTGGCTTCCGGGTCCATAATGGCCCCTCGGGATCCGGTTCGGTCCAGTTTGAAGCTGTGGTCCTAGACCGCTCCACCGGTGAGGGTCTGGTTCGGTCCAAGGAGCCGCTGGACTGTGAGAGCCAGCGGGAGCACAGCTTCACCATCCAGGCCTACGACTGCGGAGAGGGACCTGATGGAGTCAACAGCAAGAAATCCCACAAGTTAGACCCCCACCCCCCCTAATTTAGACAGATTTTTAATCCTTTCAGCAATAATCAAAGTCAGTGTTTGAGGCTCTTCTAGCTATGCATTGTAAAAACTGTGCATCCAGTACTGCTTTCTGTTGTTCCAGTAATCTCCCTACTTGTTTGTCTTCCCGCTCCTGCTTTCCTCAGGGCCACCGTGCACGTTCGCGTGAACGACGTCAACGAGTTCTCCCCCGTGTTTGTTGAGCGTCGCTACGAGGCCTCTGTCCCAGAAGGGCGTCTGTTTGACCGAATCGTACGCGTGGAGGCTCTGGATGCCGACTGCTCCCCGCAGTACAGCCAGATTTGCTTCTATGACATCATCACTCCCAATGTGCCCTTTGCTATTGACAACGATGGTGAGATGAATCTCATTTTGCAAATTAGAGCCTCATAGACTAATCCATATTTCCCCTTTGATTCCAAGAAAAATACAATATGCCTGCCAGTCACCATATTATTTCCTTATTTTCTCTCTTTCTTGGGTGGCCGTGGTTTCAAATAGAATAACAAAATTCAATATTCGGATCAGTATTCAACTGCTAAACTCCGGATGTCCTCAATACATGAAGAACATACACACCAGACGCTGCTGCATAGCGACAGAGTGAAAAGATTTGCAGGCACTTATGATTCTTCTCCTCTCAGGTAGAAACCGAAAGATGTTAAAATAGACTTTGTGTGGGCGGACGATTGTTCTGTCTCTGCATCAACATCGCAACAGCTGTTCGGCTTAAAGGGGGCTTATTGTGCAAAATCCACCTATTTATTTAATTGTATTTTTGAGTATATTTGGGTTTGTATAACCCCAAAACTGTGAAGAAAGACCGCTTGCTTGCTTCTTTTCTTTCTGCAGAGATCAGGAACTGAGCCTCAAAATTTACTGCCCTGTTTGATGTCAAAAAGAGATAAGCACAGTGCTCAGCAGTCAAAAGACCTTTCCCCTTAAATTGTGAATAAGCGCAACTATTATTCCCTCGCTCAAGCAACTTTTCCTAACCAACGTGTAATGTACTCCAGACACCTGAGGACTCAGTGTCCCAGTGGATTACATATGTTTTGATGACAAAATCCTCAGAGGTGATCCCATACAAGAGCGATTCAGTAATCACAGGTACTCTTTATATCAACTATTTTTGCCTAATTATCGAGTTGTTTCCACAACATCCATTCATTAGCTTAAGTGCTAATGATTTGGGAAATATTTAAATGGAAATAAACATTGAGATCATTATTTTATGCGATAGATTTAAAAAACAACTGAGTTTGAATGTTCTCAAATCTGTCACCTGGGAGTTTGGAGGTTTTCTGTTAAACTGATTTGAAAATGTGAAGTTTGAGTTTTATAGTGGATTTCCTGTGCATGATACCATCAGGGATACATATGTTTTCAACATAAATCCACATTACACTGAATTTACAGCTATTCAACAGATGTAAGATTGTAAGATTTTCCTCCCTAGAAATGTACCCCAACATTTTTATTGTCGTTCAGCCAGCATTTAAAAGATTTATGACACAAAAAGCACACATTACACAGCTGACAAAGTAACACATTTAACAGGACGCATTAGGAGAAAGAGAGAAACCCTTATTTCAGATAGAAGACATTTTATTTTCCTTTCTGTGTTTCTATAAATATGAAGCCCTTATCTAATGCTGCTTCTCAGCAGAACATAACTTCATCTCCCTGAAACATAAAACACTTTGTTTAATAGTTTATGCAACACTGCAGTGTGATCACAATGATTTAAAGGAGCAGTTTGCAGTTTTCCAACCTTACTGAACCTTTCAAACCACTGAATTATATCAAGTATCATGAAATCATTGCTTTGTTGATCTGAGTATTGCTGAAAATGATACTGAGTCCAGTTTATTTACTCGGTGTACCATATCCTGTACTCAGACAATAACAGTGTTCAGATCAGTTATATTAATCTGTTCTAAAAGTAATGTTTACTATATAATTGCACTTTTTTTATATTTCACATGTAATTTCTGTATAATTGCATCACTAATAAAAAGAACTCATATTTAATGATTTTATAAAAATCAGAAACACTCAGTAAAAGCATAAGCTATGATGGTGGGCCCAAATCCTGATACGATCTCAAATGGAAAACGTTAGCCATTTCTTTCATTTTAGGCCCCTGTGCTAAGTGCTAAGTGCTAACATGTCATCTCAGGAGCTGTTTAAATAAACTTTCTCTGCATTTTTGTTAAAATAACATCTTAAGCAAATATACAATACAAGCAATTAACCGTCTCTATACAGATGACAATACTGTAGAGGAGAAGAAGCATTTAAATTCCCTCCACCATCATTTGTTTGGCTGTTGTGCCACTTTGGGGCAAACTGCTGCTGTATAATGAGGGTTTGTCAGTGAGTTTTAAAATACCTTTCTCATGTTTTAATTATTGTCTTAAAAATATGATGAAACTAATAAACAGACGTGTATCCTAATGTTAATTTGAATAGTAAAACTTGATAGTTAGTAAACCAGACAGCACCAAAAGCAAGCAAATTGTGGCACAGCGGGCACATGTTCTGTAAAATAAATAATAAAACCCATGGACCTTTTGGATTAATTAAAAAGAAATTTGCTGCCGTACAAAACCGATCATCGCTTAAACTGAATATTTAATAATTTGATAAATTCGACCTGTGGATATTTGATGTTGCGCTAATTATCCATAAACTCAAATAAATCACTGCTAGAACGTGAGGCTGTTTTCAAACTGCAGATTAAAAGGAGTCCTGGTTTTGACCAGAATTCACTTCAAAAACATGGAGGGTACCAGTGCTTATTGGTCTCTGTCATAGACATTAAATTGGTGTTAAATTGGAGTTTTGCTTTTCGAACTATGACATGAAACTGATGCCTAAATATGGCTGAACAAAAACAAGATTTTGTCTTCTTGAACTGGGTGTAAAACTGATTTGGTTTAGTGAAGCTTAAAGGCTCCAAGGATGTCATGTGACCACCTCCTGCACGTTTTTAAGTAAATAAAGCTGGAAACAATAACAATTTCAACCCTGTCATATGTGCTCTGAGAGCCTGAAAGTTAAAAAGTAATCAGAATATAACGGTCAAATTTCAGGTGACGTTATTAAATAAACTAAAACTCTTATACAAAAAAGAAAGAGCTGATTTTTAGGGAGTTGGGTTGGAGGCACTGATTTGTTTTCCTTGGTAGGCGGAGCAGTAAATATGGCTGATGTTACCTTTAGCTTTGATTCATAAGAACGCAGAGCACAAACCATACTCACTAACTGGAGGTTTGAATCCTGACAAAGTGCCTTTCTGTAGCTGGAAATTATAGTTATATTAGGATTATTTGACTACCCTGTGAAGGTTATTTATATGTTAACAAGCTGCTGTGTTGTTGCTGGTGTAGGCATTTTGAGTAACAGAGTCCCAAAGCTTTCTCATTCTTGGTGTTGATGCCCCATGTATTATTGCCAGCGTTATGAACTTTGGTCTCCACAGAGCAAGGCTCGTGTTTTTGGTTTGACAGCTTATTAAAAATATATTTTTTATCTTGTTGGTAGACCGTCCCGCTGCACAGAAGCATTTACACATTTATCAGTTTTTGCCAGCAGACAGAATCGACGAGGAGGCACCTTCACGCAAAACAAACCTAAGAGAGCCATTAGATGTTTTTCCTCCTCAGGCGTGGGACCTAATTATGCTCCATCACTATGTCCAAGCTGTAATGCGGAGGGATGACGTGAGAAGGCGTGCAAACTTTAGCACAGATTTGGCCAAAAAGCGAGAGCTGGGTTTGGGTTGTTGTGCTTCATTGCCATCGGTCACATCTGTTTGTTTCTTCTGTGCTCACATATAGTGTGTTTTAATACAGATTAATTCACATTAAGCTGATCTCATCCACATACTTTTCCTGTTTCTGCTGTTAGTTTGTGAACACAAATGTGGCCTATTAAGACTACATTGTTAACAAGCCATATGTTGCCACTCTCCACTGCTAAAATCTTGATTTTATAACTATGAGGTCCTCCGATAAAATCACTATACACATAAATTTAAAAAAATAAGATGAAAACAACAGCTGTCTTGTGATTTTGGTCACATTTACATGTAAAATGATCCCACAAAGAGCACGTTCTCCTTCACATCTATATCTTCTGCCCTGCGGTTGAATGCGTGTTGTGTGCTGTCTCTCGTCTCTGTTTGATTTAAAGCTCCAAACAATCTGTTTAGAACAACAATGAAAACCTTGAAAATGAATGAATATTGGAGCTTTAGGCTGAATCCTTTGACTGGTTGGTTTGGGATCAAGTGCAGCTGTTTAACAGAGTGTCACAGCAACTGAGAAGGACCCTGTTTTGGTATGACTGTGCAGAAATGTCCCAGACTTGGAGGGCTTTGCCGAGGATGAGCGGTTCCTTTCTTTAGGGGTCAGACTGATACAACAGCACAGCAACCTTTTGTTCCAGATTTGCTCAAACGCTGTGGGCTGTTTATTGTCTATTTTCTGTTTCAATTTGTCTATTCTGCTCCTGTTTCTACCTCTGTCTCTTTCATCCCTCTGTTTTTCCCTCTCACCATGTCACACCATCTTCTTTCCTTAGCATTGTTTGTCAGCTGGCATGCTGAGTGCTGTCAGCCTATCACGGATACTCGCTGTTTATTCATCTTTATCTCTAAAAACAGGAAAACCCTTCAGTTTTTTATCCTGTTGTGTGCAATCTGTCCTCGCTTTCATATCACCGAGCATGACGCGTTTAACAGGGCAGTGGCTCTGCTGTTGGGAATGTGCCGGTTTTATCAATGGGTCTTTATTTGACCCGAGCTTCAGTTATGCAACAACCTTGTGGTTGGGTGACTAATGTTCTATTTTTTTCCCCGGTTTATTTTTTGTTTCATTATTTTTCTGTGTCTCCTAGGAAACATTAAGAACACAGAGCCGTTGGATTCAAAGCGGCAGCGCGTTCACACCTTCTGGGTGACAGCCTTCGACTGTGGAAAGAACCGCGCTCAGGCTGACGCTCAGGTTGTTGTCACGGTCAAGCCGTCCTGCAAACCCGGCTGGATCGGTAATTTTTCACACGCACTTCTCTTTTTCTGATCCCAGAACAAGGCCGATGAGACTTTACACATACGTGCGCTTTAGTTGTTTAATATTTTCCTTTTTTTGTGGTGATGGGGGAGATGAAACTTTCACTTTGATTTAGAAAGTGTGTGGGCTGCCACTTGGATGAATCACCTTTGCATGTTTAGATCAAAAGAACTGTGTTTTAAAGAGGCGGTGTTGAATCTTAGTAATATCAAGGGAAGGTAACTGCATAGTTAAACAGTGACAGTATATTTTTAGATCACACATACGACTACAGCAATGTTACGTGCTTTTTCAGACAGTAGATTTCCTGTTTAAAAGGGGAAGTCCACAGAGGAGGTTCATGGATGTAGTGAAGGAGGACGTTAGGGATAGATGGGCTGTATAAATTTAACACACTTTCCCCTTTTTAGCATGCTGGAGTCAGTCGGCTTTGACATTTTTTAAAGATAAGGGTAGTTAACTCCAAAGCAGTTTTCAGACATGAACTCTGGGAAAAACTGGAGAATCAAGTTGGGATATTGTCTGAGGTTGCCTTCTCTCACATGTATCACACAGCAGGGGAATGTTTGCGTCATATTTATTCTCACTATCGTGGTTTAGCCGAGACATGACGCCCACTCCCTCGCTGGGAAATCACTCCACAAATTACCCGTGGTAATTCTCACATGGCCGCAATCAGACACCAGGCATACCTTGTGCTAGGGGAAGTCGATGGTTCGAGACATTTAATGTCTGAGTCGTCTGCGTTTGATGCTAAAGGAGTGTAGAAAAGGTCAGAAGGGCTCAGATGTTAAAGGTGAAGCGGGTATTGATACTTTTTTTTCAGGATGGACCAAGCGTGTAGAGTACACCCCTGGGTCAGGCAGCATCCCTCTGTTCCCCAGCCTGCATTTGGAGACCTGTGAAGAGACCGTGTGGAACATCCAGGCCACCGTAGAGCTCCAGACCGGCCACATCGGGAAAGGCTGTGACAGAGACAGCTACTCCGACAGATCTGTGCGACGTCTGTGTGGTGGGTTCAGGCTTATGACTGAAAACATGTTAACCTTTTGACATCAGATCCGTTATTTCTATCACCTCTCTTTTTTGTATCAGGTGCTGTCAGGGGCGAAGTCGACCTGCTCCCACCTCCATCTCCTGCCGCTAACTGGACTTCAGCGCTGCCCACTCTCCCGTCTTCCGACTCATCTCTGATCTTCTCCTTCAACGGCTCCAACCACGTCGCTGTCGTGCCCGATTCGGTTGTGTCCGCACTATCCGGCGACCACTTCACCCTCCAGCTGTGGATGCGCAGAGGTGGTGCCAACGTCCAGCCTGCGACCACGCAAACCAGAGGAAATCGCAAGGAGGAGGAGACTATTGTCTGCAGCACCGTCAGGAATGGTAAGCGCTGTCCCTCGCACATTAATTTAGCCTTTGGGACTGCGAGTGATGTTGTGGTTAGAAATGGTTTTGCTTCTTCACTTTTCTATCCACTCCTCAGTCATCTAAACCCTTAGAGGGCACCATTTTATCACGTGAGCTTCGGGGAAAATCATGCCCTGAAAAAAAACTGTTTAAAGCTACTATCAAGGTGCTCTTGAGAGAGGCACTTAACCTCCAGCTGCTCTGCTTGTGCAGCCAAGTGGAAAACAGAAGAAGAGTAAAATACTGTAATTGTGCCAGGAACAATATTATGGGTAATGTGAATATTTTCAGCTGTGTGACTTTGTATGGGTGCAGTTTTCAGCAAGCTTTCCTTTTTGATAAAATTCACAGGTGAGAAAAACATGGTGGACTCACGTCGTGCCTCTGCACCAGCAGCAGAAGCTGGCTGGTCCTTTTTCTTTTCACCTCGTCCGCCTGTCCGTGTGTCCCATTCTCGTGAGCGTGATGTCTTAGCAGTGTTTGAGGGAATTTGGCACAAAGATTCACTTTGACTCAAAGATGAAATTATACATTTTTTTGTCTGTTCTTAAACAAGTTCAATAAATGTGTTTGTGTTTTACTCAAGAATTAATATGCTAATTATTCCATACAGTTAGAGCCATAATAGATTGGACAAAGACTCTATGTACATATATGACAAATAAAGTGAAGACTTTCAGCTTAAATTCAAGGGGTTTAACAAAAGTATTACATTAACTCTTTACAGCCATGTTTACACACAGTGCCCTGTTTTCAGAGGCTCTAAAATCATTGGATAATTGACCGATGAGCTTTTTCACGGCTAGGTGAGGCCTGTTCACCTGTTATTTCATAATAAATGAAGCAGACATAATATCTGAAGTTGATTCAAAGCATTTACCTTGTATTTTATGGCTCTTTACTGTATTTTTTTAAAATATGAGACCCAAAGACATATCAGTACGAGGGAGGGAGGCCATCACTGGGCTGAAAAGCCAAAATAAATCAGAGAGATTAAATAAGCCGTAGGAGTGTTTAAATCGACAATTTGACACGTTATGAAACACCACAGAAGCCAATGAAAGTGGATGATGACAGTATTTTTTTTTTCATGGTTAAGGAGAACAACCAAGCCATGAAAACTCTCAAAGAGGTATCTGTATCAGTGTCAAGGTCCACAACCAAGAGAAACCTTCATTAATGTAAATACAAGCTGCAAACCACTGGTAAAAGAACGCGAAGGCCAGGTGAGACTTTCCCAGAAAACATGTAAAAGAGCCTGAAAAGAAAATTTGGCCAGATTACACCAAGATGAACTTGTAGTAGAATGACGGTAAAACAGAAGCATCATCTGTTAAACATGGTGGAGGCGATGTTACGGCCTGGGCATCCATGGCAGCTAGTGTTTATTGATGATGTGGCCACAGATAGAAGTAGCAGGATGAATTATCAAGTGTACACGTTTAGATTCAGACTGCAAAACTAATCAGACAGCACTTCACAGTGCAAATGGATAATGAGTCAAAGCAAATAAAGAGTTTCTCAAAGCAAAGAAATGTTATGTTCATCAATGACCAATTCATTGAAGAATATCAATGAGTTGATATTTGTCATCAGAGTATGTTTTTGATTTGCTGATGTCACCTAATACTGTGCAGGAGGCAGGTTTTGGACCCAGTATGAAGGACTCGAGAGGCAAACGTGAACTCTAAATGCTTTTCAGAATCACAAAATGGGATATCACAAAAGGATGTGACAAAGGACCAGGAGGAAGACACGGACAATTTAAACACAAGGCATTTAGGTGAGGGGTAAACAGGTGGGAGACACAACAGGAACAAATCATGGATAACGAGACACGGGAAGTAAAGCTAGACACAGGGCACAGGAGACCAAGGACTAACAAAATAAAACGGGAAAATACTACACACTGAATCGCAGAGGAAAACTCGACAAAGCACAGGGAACACAGACGAGGCCGATAAAACATGACAGGACAGAAAACAACAAACTTTAAATCAGAACAGAAACCAAGAACAAAGGGATAAACACTGAGGAATTATAACTAACTCGACACAAAGGGATACAAGACAAAACACAGAGGCTGGATTAGACCAGACACAGAAACATAAGGGAGGCAAGAAAACAAACTGAAACCAAGAACAGAATTAAATGCGAAACCTAAACCTGGGAACATAAATACGGAGAAACAAATCAGGAAATGATCTAAAAAAAAGACACAAAACTCAAAAGTTTGATTCTTAGACCCAGAGACTGTAACAACTGAAGGCAAAAGGCAGAAAGACCCACAAACAGCAACAACCAAATCTGGCCGAACATCTCAAGGGAGGAAATGCAGCATTTGGTGATGTCCATGGGTTCTAGACTGCAAAGGATTTTCATCCAACAACACTTAATGCAAATTCTTGCAAAATCCCTTTAATTAAAGCTGGAAGTTTGCACTTTAATCACATCTTGATTGATTTATAATCCACTGTGCAGAGGGAAAACTACAGAAACTGGGTATTTGACCAACAAATGATTGCCCCAACTGTAAATCTTCTGTGCTACCATGTTGAGGATGTGCATACAGATTCCATGTATTAGAATACAGCTTATTTGCCACCACATCCATATTATGAAGCACCGTCTACTGTCAGAATCACTGGCCGCTCCACTGGCTGGTGAATCCACACCACAGCAAACCAGTAATTCTTCCCATTTCTTCTTTATTCTCCCAAAGAAACGCTGGATGATTTTAAGAAGTTCTGACAGGCCTGCGCCAATTATCTTCTGTTTTTCTGCTCTCCTGCTCCACAGATGACTCCTTCTCCCATTACTCCCTCTCCGTCCACGGCTGCCGCCTCTCCCTCTTCTACTGGCCCGACGTCTCAGCCGCTCGCCCCGTCAAGTTCTTGTGGAAACTGGAGCAGGTAACTGAAGGGAAGTGCAACGCTCAGCTTCGATGCTGTCGGTTGCACAGTTTCTTCTGTTTCTCAAGCTCGAAATTAAGCTGAAATAGAAGAAAATTCAGTCGTTACTTTTTATGTCTGTGCCATGTCAAACATCAGAACCGTCCCTCGTTGGAAATTTAGCTATTTTACAGATGAGGATATATGCAGAGCGAGTGAAATGACAACCCTATTGTTTATTTAGATAAAAGGCTTTTTCTTTCATCTCCCGGGCTTTCTCTAACGAGATCACTTAAATGTTTCATGCATGAAGAGGATCTGTGCGTCATCCGTATTTACAAAATCAATTTCTGTTCGGACTATTTTGTGCAGTCCGTTCCCAGTAAAAAGGAAATGGAACAAAATGGAACTCATTTTCTGTTCTGATCACACCGCATCTTCAGCACCGTGGTGAAACGCGCAGTCTCAGCCGAGTACATGAAGATGTTTGTGTCGCTGCACGAACCTTTTATGTATCACAACATACTTCTCGGCTCTAAATCTATATCTTTCATCATAAAGCTACCTGTGAGGTTAAAAGTCCAGCATGCATCAGAATACATGAATACAAGTAGCGAGGTCTTTCGGCACACCTGTATACCTGGATGCATGCGAGGCTGTGGTTTGGTGTACGTGGTGGAGGGTGATCGGGGTTTGTTTTGACGGAAGCCACCAGTCTCAGACAGATTGAAGTCACATGGATTAAAGGATGCTGAGCTGATACAGAGAAGATTTGTTAAATCCCCCTGTCTGGACCTCAATATCTTATTACCCTGTCTTTCTTTCCTACTCCCTCTGCCTTTGTAATTCCCCTGTCATTTGTGTGCTGTATTCCTTCAGGTTACACATCACTGATAAAGAAAGTTTATCACAGCAAATGTCTGCAGGAATTCACCCGTGGTGGAAAGTATATTTATAAATATATATAAATACTCAAGTAGTAGAATCATTTGGATTATAATTTTGACTTGCAGCTTACAAAAGGAAATGTCTTGTCAGGGGAACTTGTCACTTGATTGGACTTTCAGAAGTTCCAAAAGCAAATTTCACCTCAAAACTTTGATTTGAATTTTAACAAGTATTCAATAAGTGGCAAAACAGCCACAAAGGCAAAGAAAATTTCATTTATCTCATTTCCTACCAACGTGGCAACCTTCAAGGCTTAAAAATATAGGAAAACCAACCCAAACCCCCCCAGAAGAAACTGCACGAAACACGAGTCACACCACACACACATGTTAGCATGCCCAACTTCACCTTACAGCTTTACCTTCATAGCATGTACAGGGGTGAATTTCTTTATAACTTTTGTACTAAATCATGACTTAAAATGAGGGTTGAGGTTGCTGCAGCTGTAGCTGGTAGCAGCTAAGCTACAACAATAATAGGAGACATTTTCGTCTTCAGAGTGTGGTTTCACATACATTTTAATGCTAATACCTGAGTCAAGCTGTTTGATGAGAGGAGAAGTCATGCAAACTCTGCAGGGTTGTAGGGCTTCACAGTATTTTTCCATGGCTGTAGTGGTACTTTTATTTAAATATAGAGTCTGAGTAATCATTCCACCCAGATAATGCACTCATGCTGACTCCATGTTATCTCCCTCCAACAGGTGTGTGACAGCGAGTGGCATCATCTTTCACTCAGCGTCCAGTTCCCATCAGTGACCCTTTACGTGGATGGAGTGACCTTTGACCCCGCCCTCATCCACGACAACGGAGCCATTCCGAACCCCGCCCCGCGTCAGCGCATGTTCATCGGTGCCTGCTGGGGTGAGACTAACATGCTGCGCGTTTCATCTCAGCTCAAAGAAAAGCTTTGCTTCCTGTCTGAAAGCTGCGAGCAGCAGTTTGAATCCTCGTTTCCGTTTCTCCATCCCTGAAATGTCGTTTAAACCCAACATCAGCAGAGATAGCAGGATGCAATTTCTGGCAAGTTACGAGTCCTCGTGAGGCATCTCGAGACAGGCCTCTGAGACGTTTCACACCGCGCCGTTTCTCCCTTTCATTTCACTCAGTTATAATTCACTTGATGCATCTTGTCTTTGAGGGCTAATAATATAACTGACTTATCAATTATTCAGGGCAGCAGAACAACACGAAGGCCAGACAGCCATCAGCCACTTACACCCGAGCCGCTGGTTAAAATGGGAAGCTCTGGCTGCCAATTAGCAGTGAAAAACACACACACAGTCACTCCGTTTCCTGCGTGGCAGCAGCTGCTGCCGGATAATGAGGAGATGCTGCAATTTTTGAAGATTGTCAACAGTTTTCTTGCTGCCTGTGTTTTTTTTATTCTCCCTGTCAATCTTTGGTACCCTCAGATTTCCTCTCGCTTGCTCTTCAAGCCCCTCTCGACTGAAAAGTATTTCTTGGAGCGCCTCATTGTTTTCTGTTTTTCTCTTCCCCCTCTCTCTCCCCGCTGCGCCGCTTTCCCTGCAGAGCCTGAGGAGAAGCAGAAGGAGATACTAAACAACACCATCCCAGAGGGTAAAGACTCAGGTGACCTTCTTGTTTCACACTGTTGTCAGCGTGATGGTGTGCGGTCTGCCATTTTGCTGTGTCATTGCTGGTGTAGTTGAAGTTTCATGGGATGATGTTATGTGTGTTCACACCTTAGTGAAGTATGTTGGCAGTTACCATGGCCTGTTGTCTGGGGTGACGGTGCGTCCTGGCAGCGTGGAGCCTCACAGCGTGGTCGAGTGCCTGTACGCATGCAGGGAGGGGCTGGACTTTGGCGACCTGGAGACTTTGGGCTCTGGCATGAAGGTAACAGCTAAGGGAGCTCTAGGCTGCCAGATCACACACCTCCAGTTATTCCCGTCTGGGAAAGTCACTTAATATCCACATTTCAAACACATCTCTTCTCCAAATCTTTTTTGGCTGATGCCGTGATGGCTGAGGTTGTTTGTGGTTCATGGTTACTTTATATGCAGTGCAGCTGGGATATGACAGAGACACTGCATGGAAATAAACAACATTATCCTTGAAAGTACAAATCGTATAACAGTACAGTAAACTGTAAAAAATAAAAAATTCCTTAAATGTGGAAGATGAATCTTAATTTTTCTATAAAAGACAAATACTGTAGTTTTTAGACCTGCATTTAAATAAAATCAAAATAACGATACAGTATAATTCAGCTCTTTTTCGGCTTCTGAAGTCCCGAAATCCTTGCAAACTTAAAGTGTCTCATATAAAAATCCCAAATGTTCACTTATTGAGGAAAACATCTGGATATCGACCATTTACAGAAAAATCACATCAGTTTATCCATCTTTACAACATTCCCTGTGTTTGGGACAGCGTGGCATTGGAGTGGTTAGCAATGTCGCCTCATCGTGAGAAGGTTTCTGGTTCAACCCTCAGTTGGAGCCTCACTGTTTGACACTTGGTTTTGTCCAACCTTCTCCCACAGTCCAAAGACATGTTAATTAGTGATTCTAAATGAATATATGTTTAGGCTGTGCTTTAAGTGCTCAGTAAGTCCAGAAAAATACTGTATAAATTCAAGCGTGTTACGTCATGTTTTATAATTCACACTTGTGTGTTTAGTTTGTTAAGCAGGTTGCATCTTCGGTGCAGAAAAAAAGGTTGCAAACGAGGTCATCCCACACTTAATGTGCACACACTTAAGTCTTTTTTTTTTTTTGCTTGGTTGAAGACACAGGTGTAGCATCTTCACAGCTCACCTGAGCAATGCTCCTAAACTTTTTTGCTGTTTAACGACAAAATGAAACAAAACAATAAGAATTGAAACCATGTATTTGCTGGTTGGATAATCCATATTGATTTTTAAGCTTTAGTAGCTCCATTCACCACCAAACATTTGTAATGCGCGAGCAGATAAATGTTCAATAACTGCCCAAAGTTATGATTTTGACCTAAAGTAGGGGTGGGCAAATAATTTCCCTAAGAGGCCACGTGAGAAACTACGAATATTATGAAGAAAAAATCCACCTTAAATGCTATGGTCTTTGCTTTTAAAGCAGAATTGGTAATTCAGTCATTTTCTCCTCTATTCTGTAGCTTTTAAGACTAAAAAGCAGCAACATGTGCTTTAAATAATTAGGAGGATGCTAGGGATAAGGTAAGATGGAGGTAGATGATGTGCTGTGGCGACACCGAAGGGAGCAGCTGAAAGATGTGGGAAAAAAAACATACTTTGCACCAGGTCCATTGATATTTGTGTAGTATGTCAACCAAAGGAACAATAGCTACTTAACTCTACAAACAAGCCACTGCTCAACCATACACATGTGCATGTTGTTTGCTTTGATGCTGAAAGCAGAGCTTGCAGACACCTAAGCAAAGAGCTGAGTGTGATTTTTGTCCTCTACATCAGCGGTCCCCAACCTTTTTTGCGCCACGGGCCGGTTTATGCTCGACAATATTTTCACGGACCGGCCTTTAAGGTGTCGCGGATAAATACAACAAAATAAAACTAGTACTGGTACCGAAAAAGAAGATTTATTCATAACACACGTGAAAAGACCCAGGAAAACCGAGTTAACGATAAAAACAATAACAAAATAACGCTGAAAACCGATAAAAACCCTCAAAACCATACATTTCACACCTGAGCCTCTACCCTCGTGGCCCGGCACCAAACGACTCACGGACCGGTACCGGTCCGAGGCCCCGGGGGTTGGGGACCGCTGATCTACAATATATTTGCACTTAGTTGCATAAGTAATTGGACAATGACACTTTTCCTTTGTAATTTTGCCTCTGCACACCACTACATTGTGTTTAAATCAAACAATCAGCATGTGATTGAAGTGCAGACTTTCACTTTTAAATCAAGTGGTTTGACAAAAGAACTGCATTCATTTAGGAATTACAGCCATTATTGTCTAAAGTCTAAAGGGATGCTGATGCAAGTGAAGGAGGCTCCAGATACTTATGGACATGACTCTCTGCGTGCCATTGTGACTTTTTTTTTTCAGCATATTAATTCCAACCATGAATTTTTCTATTTCTCCTGCAACCTTTCATATTATTTACAGGACCCTGACCACTGATGTTGCAAGGATAATGGAAAGTGTAGTACCATTTCTGACCCCTGAAAATGCTTTTCTTTTGTTTTTTGTTACATTATACATTTTGACTTCATTGTAATTTTCCACTTGACATCCCTACATTGTTTTACAGTGAATATTTACTGCTGCAAAAGCACTGAGGCAGATACTTAATGCCCAAAATGATGACGAAAACAGCTCAACTGCTGGACACGAGTCGGGCTCACTCCTTTTTGTATGAAAACTGCTGAAAACAATTAATGACATTATGATGAAAAAGTGTTCTTTTATCAAATCAATGGTCGGATAATGGTCATAAATGTGCCCACTCTGTCGTTCTAGTGAGTAAAATAGACTTGTTGTTTAAGGGTTAACATGAACGGTCCATACCTGCCGGGAGCTTTGATGTAAATTAATATGAGCGTCCTTCTCTTTTGACCCTCCAGGTTCACGTGAATCCCAGCCAGTCTGTGTTAGTGCTGGAAGGAGACGACATCGAGAGCTTTAACCGTGCAGTGCAGCAGGTCACGTACAGAAACTCTCTACGCTTCGCCACCCCTGGCGTTCGTCCGCTCAAGCTTACCACCTCCCTCAGGTACAAAAACACAAAGATGAGTGTGCATGAACCTCAGTAATATTACATGTAAGACTGAGTTATAAAGACGTGCTGGTTTCACACTCCTGGGCCAGAATGTAATTTAAATGCAAGGATGCAATCAGGAACCTCTTGCAAGACAAATTTGCTATCTGACTACATTCAGATTGTCCTTTGAGTGGAAACAAAACATTCGTGCTATTTAAACAGAATTGGAGAAAAGCAGGAAACAAAGAGGGGCAGTGAAAGATGACAAAGGCAGAGAGGAATGTAAATCAGCACACTGGAAATCTCCCAACAGCAGAAATTGAGTTTGAGCAGCTGAACTTGTCAGATGAAGTGTCACTCACTGCTGCCTTCTCCTCTGACATTGAACTCATCAAACGTGGACCACGCCTCGGCGGTGATAAGGACTGACGTGTGATTAAAGAGGCGATTACGTAATGAACAAGGTGTCTCAAAACAAGCGATAACAGGGAATATCTTATCTCTCTTATCCATTCAGCCACCCAGTAACTGCTTTGGTAAACGAAATCTTTGGGGGGGGTTTTAATCGTTGTTCTTTATTGTAAAGCAGCCATTAAATAATTACCCAAATGGAAACGTTATCTTTACTATTTGCTGTAGATGTTGTCGTTGATATGCACAACACACCGCTGCTCAGCTCCTGCATAGTCCGCCTGAAAAATAACCCACATCGGTTCAGTGTTAATCATACTGAGTCACCTGGCTTGGAGATGAAAAGCACACAAACTCTGTTTCCGGGTCAGTGCTCCGCTGTGCTTAACAACTGTGAACCAGCTCCCAGGCTTTAGCAGCCACTTTTAGCTGATGAAAATTTAATTCAGTCAGGCAGAGCGGCACATATACTTCGTGGTATATTGTGAATTTATACTCAAAATAGCGTCCTTCCTCACAAATCCCATCTGATCAAACTCTAGTGCAGATATCCCTGTTGCCGTCTTTATCGGCTGCTGTTTTAGACACTTGTTTATAAGATTATCATCGTTATCAGACCAAGAGTCACACTGGAGATTATTTTCCCCAACTAACTGCTTTTAAGTTCCCAAGGATTCAAGGTCATGCACAGATTTTTTTTTCCCTCTTAGTTTCTGCTTTAGTGTGCTGGAGTTGTTTATATTTTTTCTTTACTTGAGCATGTTTTATTGCGTGTGTGAAGATTAGACTGATTTGAGGCCAGGAGTTACCCAGATGGCTGAACAGCAGGCCCTTCTGGAGAGGCTGATAGAAGCAGCTGCTCCCTCTGATAGCGGAAATATAACACACAGACACACACACACACACACACACTTACGTGCAGCTTAATTCCCTTTCAAATACGATGCCGAATTTTAGTGCAGATGAATAAATATGTGTTATCAGTCTGCCATACATCTGATTTGCTCTTCTTTTCTGGCAGGAAAATTAAATTTGTAAGAGCGGAGCCGCTGAAGTTTGACATTTGCTCTTTTTTTAGTGTCACAAACAGACAGAAGTTAACACGGCTGTGGTGGAAATAGCAAAAGGAGATAGCTGTAGATTTAGATGTTTTTGACACAATCATTGTGACTCAACACCAGGCGATCAAAATGTCAGGACAAGAGAACAAATTCAGTCGTGCAGCAGCAGAGCACACCAAGGGTTGTAGAAAGGTGGTAATCACTAACAGTAGATCTAAGAGTAGGAAAAAAGTGTGGCACAGTCTGTTTTATTTTATTCCCATGGTGCTTCACTCTTTATTGATGTCGAGGAAAGCCCAAGCCCAATGTTCACCCAAGACATCAGTTCACACCGTGCACATGGAAATGTTGCAAAGTTGAAACAGTAAAAAAAAAAAAAGATCTTGGTGTTATAGTGACACTTTATGCAAAGGAAAAAAAAATACTTATTTTAGTTAAATTTGTGTAATTATAAAGCTAATTCTTAGCTACAATTATCGCAGGGCGCAAAGAGCTTGTTGTTTATTTCTCTAGAGGTGTGTGAGAGAACTACTGCATGAGTGAAGTGAAAGAATACTCTGTACAATGTCTGATAAATTGTCTTAACTCCTGCTACTAGAGTCTGCATCAGTAGTGTCCCAAACCCTTGGGACCTCGACTATTTTTTGTGAATTTCACTTTTAAAAAAACATCCCCTGATCAGTAAGAAGTCCACAACTGTATGGTCAAAAGAAACAACTATGGCCTGAAAAAAAAAAAATAGGACACAGTGACATATTTAAAAATGACAGCAAAACTCAGACTTCTTACTTCTGCCCCATTAAACTGTACTGAATGGCTCAGTCGCACGGCTCAGTTGCAACTAGGAAACGTTAGTAGTTTCTTACTGCATTGAATGTTTTTGCTAGAAACCAACTGGTTGCCCATAGAGTGAACATGCAGTCTCCTTTAGTCAGAGGGAAATGGTACAGGTTGCCTTCATGGAAGCAACCTGAGTCAGAAGGTTTGCAGTCTAATTTATAAAAGCAGATGAGCAAAACTTGTTAATGACACTTTTCTTTTCAACAGAGGATTCGATTGAACTGGTTGTATTCTAATAACATTTGTCTAAAAATAAGGAGAAATTTCTGACTTTTTGTTTCAAATCTGAGGTTCCTGCTGGACTCTGAATAAAAGGCGTTACTTTGAGTTTCTGTGTATTTCAATTGCAGATTTCCTATTAAAAGAGAGTTTGTCCTTCCCCCTGTCACCAAGTGCTTCCTCATTGTTGGTGTTTTCTGTGTATTACTGTAAGGCCTTTATCTTGAGGCAACTGTTATGATTTGGCAAGATATGAATATTATATTACAAAAAGATTACATTTCAGATCACATCCAGTTGAGAATTCATGGCAGACTCACTCTGTCTTATTGCTGGTTTGTTGCAATTTGGACACACCAAAGTTTCTTTGAATACAGCAACTGACTGCACGTGGTCACAGATCTGTTCCCCATCTTCAAAGAAACTATTTCAGTGCCAGCGATAGTTCAATGTACACATTCACAATAGTTGTGGCCATGCTGCAGTCTCCAGTCACTGTTTCTCCTACAGTGACTGCAACATTAGGGAATAAACTACATCATTTTGACATGAGGTAGGCCTCAGTCGCACAGGTCTAGAGGGATGGTCGTTTACCCTCTGGCAACCATAGATCATAGGCAAAAGTCTGTATTTCCCAGCTGGTTTATGGTTGTTTCTACTTCAAAGAGGGTGATGAGCTAAAAACCTCCTTTTGAGGTCTTTGGTCACTAGCAGATAGTCCCAATCGTGTGAACAATGCCAACTTGTCTGTAAAAACTCACAAGCACCACTGAAACTTGACAGTGTGACACAATCCAAGAACAGAGCATGTTCAGCTTCAAGTAAAAGTTGTTGTGCCATTCCCCTGCAAATGGTGGTTTCGAGGGGTTGCCAACCGGCCTCTCAGCCTTTGTGACGGAGACCTTTGTAATTACTGATGTTAGTGGACTGAAAAGTCTCAGCTGCATCTCTGCATGATTTAATTTAACTAAAAAGAAGCAAAGTCATGTTACACACAAATTTGAATCACAGCCTCTTCACTGAATGTTCAACAGCCTGAAGACTTCTAAAAAAAAACGAGGCACACTTAATAACTGATGGAGGTTTAATGTCAGTAAAGGAACCTTGACTCTCCACCTGAACTATTGGCAGTCAAGGTGCCTTGTGGGTAATGTAGGCATTGTGTTATGTAGCGCTGAAAGAAATTGTGGAATAAAAAAACAAAAATATCTGGATCTGATGCATCTGTTTAGATATTTTTTTAAAAAGTGTTGATTGTCAGTCTGACAGTGTTATCCAGGGAGTACTCCATAACCAGTGACCTGTGAGGATGATGGGCAGGAATGTGTGAATCAAATCTCACTGAAATACAAAATATCTGCCACATGGTGACACAAAATGTGAGAAGATATCATCAAACTTAAGATTCATCCTCTGTAAACCAGGCCACTACCTGCAGAGATATTTGAGTCTGGACCAAAGCAGTGGAAGTTTATTTAGCATACACCAACGACATTACCTCCCTCTTACCCTTCTGACTTCCTGACAGATGTTTCAACGAGGAGAGCTGCCTGTCCCTGAAGCAGCTCGAAGGATACTTGGTGGTTCTTCAGCCTGACGCTCCTCAGATCTCTCTGTCTGGGGTTGGGCCGCATCTGGCCCGTCCAGCTCCTGAGTTCGAAGGTCCCCGCGGCGTCCCTCTCTTCCCCGAACTCCGGATCGTCTGTTCCCTGTCTCATGCTGTCAACACAGCTGCACAAGGGATGGAAGGTGGAGGTGAGTCACCCGTCGTCTCTAGTCTGATTTAAGGAGATTTAACAGCAGATTCTGTAGTCTGCACACATTTCTGTCTGAAAAGCGTTAATTGTGTCATTATTTGAGTTTGACCTCCAACATTGTCTGCTAGCTCTGATGTCCGATGCTGTCGCTCACACTTTGGATGGCTGTGAGGTCCAACCACTGGGGGAGGAGCTAAATCCAGAGAGAGAGGAGCTTCTGGTAGACATGGATGTTGTGCGAGAGAGAGGACTAGAAATCATCAATACTACTGCTTATATTGCCATCACAGGTACAGCTGTGCATACACCTCTGTTTTTAACCAGACCTGCTTTGATTAGGTATGAAAAGTTAGGCAGACTTAGGGCCATAAAACCATAATTTATTAGATAATTTGAATTTAGTTGTTCCCATGTCTCTGTTTTAATGTTCCTCATATTAGCATTTCACAGTTCAAACTTAACCTTCTTATTGGTATAACTTGGTTTATGTCACAGGAAAGGAAAACACGTCATAGCATTGTGATTCAAATATTGCTAAGTCTTGATTGGTGCCAATCCTTATAATAAAAAACCCTCATTATAATTAATATATTAGGTTGCCATGAAGTTTAAAACAAAAGCTAACCATCTGATAAGAGAGAGCGACTAATCAGTCACTCCTTTTTAATCTCCTCCTGTTATTTCTCCTTTGTCTCTGCATTGACTTCTTGTCTTTATTTCTGTGCTGTCCTTTTTCCTTTGTTTGTGTTTTGCACCTCCACAGGTGCTGAATCTATCTCTGTGTATGAGGACGTCCTTCGCTCTGTCCGCTACCGACTGGCTAAAGGCTCAGCTCGCTTTGAGAGACGATTCCGCCTGTCCTGTTCTGAGATGAATGGCAGATACACCAGCAACGAGCTGACTCTGGAGGTGAAGATAACCATCAGCCAGTCACATTAGTCTTTGTAGCTGTCAGAGATGACAATGCCAAAGACTGATGGTCACGTAACATCTGAAATGACATAAAAAGCTTGTCTGTATCATTACATGCACACACCGTTGTAATTCAGGTTAGACCTACATTCTTACAGTTTAAATGAGCCACCACCAACAGCCATATTTGCTCTGGAGAAGCAGGGACTTGCATGATTTTGCCTGTAAGGCAGCATTAGGAGACGTGTGCTCACAATTTGGTGCCAGATGGCTGGATGGCAAAGGACAACATTACTGTTTTTTCCTTCCGGGTGGACGTGTACCAGTAGCTCTGATATCAAATGAAAACTGTGGATAAGGAGTTACTGCTGACCATTCTCCACTGACTTCTAGTATCAACGAGGCATTTTCTCCCAGAGAACTGACACCTATGGTTGTGTAGGAAAACTCCAGAAGATCAACAGTTTTTGTAATACTCGTCTGTTGGGCACCAACATCCATGACAAATTCAAAATCACTTCATCTTTCTTCCCCATTTTGATGCTCGGTTTGAACTTCAGCAGGTCGTCTTGAACATGTTTGCGTACCCAAATGAGTTGCTGCCACGTGATTGGCTGAATATGTATTTTATTTAACAAGCAGTTTATCAGGTGTAGCTAACAACACCCGAGTGTATGTTCCAATGATAACTGCAATTGGAGATGTTGTGAGGGAGCAACGCAGTTTAACCACACAGCCAGTGAAGTCATTCTTTCTTCTTCTCTGTTTTTAATTCTCTGTAGGTGAACTTCCTCCACTCTTTGGACAGTCTGTACCACCCATCCCACCTGCTCGCTTCCCAGCAGCAGTTCCTCCATCCGTCCCACCATGCTGGAGAGTTGAGTGGACACACCCTACCTAATCCACATCGCAACTCAGGTGACATTTCTGGGGTTTTTTTTTAATAGCACCTTTTTCAGATGTCTTAAAATCTTTCAGCATGAAAGATAAAATAATGTTGAATACCAAAACATATAAGTAATTAAAACTAAAGTAAATATAAATTGGACTTAAAAACAGCCCAGTGGGTACTTTTTCCAATATTTCTTTTAAAGGTGACTAAGATCTACAAAGATGTTACAATTTAATAAAAAACAATGGCAAAAACACTTCCTACCTTAATTAAAGTCACAGACACTAAATCACACTGGTGATAAAATACTGCAGTAGTTTTTGAAAGTCTGTCCAAACACGCAGACCTCTGAATGTAATCACCAGGATTTAATCTATATGATGAAAGAGCCTTTGGATTTGGTTACAGATATAATGTGTAACCTAATCCGGTGTCAAACATCTGGCCTGGGTGCAAATTTGGCACCGTTTCACGTATTTTGCACCAGGAGCATTTTGTTCCAAGTTGTTAAGGATTGAGCAAGTCATGAGAGTGGGTTAAAGTGCTGTTTTATCCATTCAAAGGTCTGAATCATCATGGCTTTTGTAGACGTCTTACTGACACAAAGGCTTTTATGTGATTTGCCACAGCAGGATTTCTTTCTACAATGACAGTAGACTGAACGTGAAAAAAATTGAGACATCTTTGACTTTTTCTTTTTTTTTTAAAACACCTCGGGCTATTCGTCATCTATTTTGTAAATGAATGTTTCGTTGTAGGGTGTTATGTAATGGTTTTACTGCTCCAGCCCTCTTGAGATCAAATTAGCCTGTGTTTGAACCATAATCTAAAATGACTGTACGGCACCTGTATAGTTTTAACGTTTAGCAAACAAACTTAATTTTATGACTATGAAAAAAATTAGGTTGTACATATGGAAGTGAGCATTTAAGGCAGGAGGACAGCACACATACACATGACTCAGAATTGAACTACAGTGCTCCCCATGTACCCCATCCATCGCATGTTTTAATAATTCTGAAGAACAACAGCCACACGAGGCATTGGGTGCCCAGGTAGTTGTGATCAGTTAATTGCTGTGGGACTTTGTTGTTTCAAAGGGTGATAATTGGAAAATTGTGGTGTGATTCTTTAATCTGATTGCTCTATTTTATTCCAGTGGTCCCAGGAGCAGCCACCGTCATCATAATGGTGTGCGTAGGTTTCCTGGTTGTGATGGTGATCCTGGGAGTTTTCCGAATCCGCTCAATCCATCGCCGTGGTGAAGGAGCCAGAGGCGGGGCTAAGGAGGGCAGCAGTCAATGGGACGACTCTGCGCTCACCATCATCGTAAACCCAATGGAGGTAATAAAGATGTTTGATTTTCATTCTTTGTCTTATGTTGCCAAAAGTGTTTGCTCGTCTGCCTTCACACGCGTGAACTTTTCAGAGTATTCCCTCCAAAAAAAAACAATAATTATTGATGTGATCACACTTCTTCATCCACTTCTTTTTTCCCCCAGTCCTACGAGTCTCGTATGGGCATCTCTGCCGACACGGAGGGCGAGGGGGAGGAGGATGAGGAGGTAGCAGAGTCGCCTGACGACGCGAGCGATGACCAGCGAATCATCATCAAGAAGGAGGGCAGAGACGGCAACGCCCGTCGCTACTGAGCCACATGTATCTCTGCACCCGTTCTCATGGAAACCACAACCCAGCTCACCAGTCACATACTCCAACACTTTTAATATCAACGAACGACTAGTATAAGGAATGTAAGCTTACAAACACGACGCACAATGCAGTCACCGTAATACTCCTGACACCCAACGCCATATGTGACCTACAGCCGACAACAGGCTGCCTCCACCTATATGTTCAGTGGCACAATGTATACAGCTAATGTAATTTAACCACCTGATTAAACCCCACCAAATTTGTATGTGGTGCACCAGTGCTAAATCACAAAATGGTCATGTGTCTGTATAGTGTAATACTGGTTGAATAAGACTGTTTTGTTTAAAAAAAAAAAAAAAGAAAAAGTAATAATAAGATTGTATTCTATCTTTTGTCTTCGAACACAGAATGAAATCTTTACAAAATGGAAACAGGGACAATTTGTTGCAACATGTAGGCCTCGAGTAGATCTGTAGACACAAGCCTCGATCCTTACACATCTGTTCATTAGACTAACCCGAGAAGTCTGCACAAGCTCTTTTCTCGCTCTTTGCATCCTCTCCTGACGCATTCCTCGGCCAAGTCCAAACACAGAGTAAAGACAGTGGGGTCAGACATCACGGGGTCACGTATTCATGATAAGCTTGCAGGTGTTTTGCTTTTGTTTCTGTGAGAACACTTTATGTTTTATTAGGAACTTATTTAGCGTCCACTTCATCCTTAACCCAAGCTGGCACTTCTGCAGCGCTCCAAGAAGGCAGACTGAGAGCCGCTCGGTGTGGTTTCTACTTCAAAATCGAGTCTTCGTAAAGTTTCAGCTCGTGACACAAAATGACAAAACATCACCTCGTACAATAAAGCTGGTGTAACCTGACCTCTGAGCCCCCCCTCCCACACACACACAGTGACCGCTGCAATGCCTCTAAATGACTCTGACTGCACTGTTTGACTCACTGCACACTGCTCTTACAGTAACTGCAAGACGCCACATGCACACACAAACAGAAACACGCAGACACACTCCATAACGCTACCCGTGCTGTTTCCAGAATGTCCGCTCAGCTTGGGCAGTTTTGATTGTATTGATTGTAATGAATTTTCTGTACATACAATGATGACTATTATGATATTATTGTTATTACTATTATTATTGCAGCCACTCTTCTCTTTATCTGCACATTTGGAGAGAAAGCTGATCATCATTTACTTTTCCCCATTTGAGTAATCACCCTTAACAGCATCGAAAAACAGTATAATAATAATAATAATAATAGTAGTAGTGATAAGGATGATAATCCCTGGCTTGATGAGTGTCTATTAATTTGTGTGTAATATTGTTGTAATTTAAGAACTTGTCGATATCACAGAAAAAGGAGGGCACATTGTTGTGATACCAAGAAGCGTCTCACTCATTTCATCTCGCGCACTTCTTGCCGATTATTTTTCACATTTCAAAATATTTCTTTATTATTTCTTTTTGAATTTGATTTCCACCACATCCGGTATTTTCGGTTTAATGAATGTACAACCGTGTGCTACTCCTCACCTTTCCCTACCCCACCGCCTTTTCCCTTCACCTCTCCCTCACTGTCCCTCTGTGTCTCTTGCTGTCCGTCTGTGTAGCCTATCAATGTGCAGTGCTAACGCTGTCAGTAAATAAAAGCCTGTTGTTTTTGAGTGTGATGTTAAGAAGGAATAAACATTGCATTGATTAAGAAATTATATTATTACTATGTTACTATTCAAACATTACCTGTAATTATTGATACAATGACAACATGGAATATCCTGACTAATTGTTATTGAGAACTGTCGGAAAACATTGCGAAATTCATAATAAAAACACTATATGACGTCTCCATGAGAGGGTTTTCTTGGAAATAACAATATTGTAAGTATGACTTTGCACATGAAATTAAACCCTGAAGATTGAATCTTATATTACAGATTATGATATGATTATAAAATCTATTGTAGAACATCAGCATAACTTCGTGCTGAAAATTGGGGGGATCAAGATCTCTGTCTAAATAAATAAATAAATAAATCTGGGTAAATTCCCATATGATTAAACATGCAACTATTTTGCTGGTATTAACCGAATTGAGTAAAGAAAATCAACAGCCTATTTATGCAAGATAATTTATAATTTTATTGGGTTTTTTTTTTGGTTGGGTCTGATTATCGGGGGGGGGGGGGTCATAACCCCCCTAACCCAACCGCCCCCAACATGTCTGGCTGGATAACCACAAGGTTGTGTGATGATCCCTTTCCTGTACTCCCTCTTCACCCATGACTGCAGACCTGCCGATGGTTCTAACACCATCATTAAGTTTGCAGATGACACCACGGTGATTGGCCTCATCAATGACAACAATGAGGCCGCCTACAGTGAGGAGGTGGATCGTCTGGCTGAGTGGTACAACACAAACAACCTGCTGCTTAACACTGAGAAGACCAAGGAGCTCATCGTGGACTACAGGAGGAATGCTGACCCACATCCACCCATCCACATTAAGGGGACGGCTGTGGAGCGTGTGAGCAGCTTCAAGTTCCTGGGAGTCCACATCTCCGAGGATCTCACCTGGACGACCAACTGCTCCAAGCTGGTTAAGAAGGCTCACCAGCGCCTCTTCTTCTTGAGGACTCTGAGGAAGAACCACCTGTCCTCAGACATCCTAGTGAACTTCTATCACTGCACCATCGAGAGCATCCTGACCAACTGTATAACAGTCTGGTACGGGAACTGCTCTGCCTCGGACCGGAAGGCGTTGCAGAGGGTCGTGAAAACTGCCCAGCGCATCGCCGGAGCACCACTTCCTGCCATAAAAGACATCTACAGGAAGCGGTGTCTGAAAAGGGCTGGGAAAATCATCAAAGACCCCAGTCAACCATCACATGGACTCTTCACCCTCCTGCCCTCTGGGAGGCGCCACAGGAGCCTCCGGACTAAGACCACCAGGTACCGGAACAGCTTCTTCCCCACAGCTGTCAGACTCCTGAACTCTGCCTCCTTACATCTGACCCACATTAAACACATGGACTGGACATACACACACCCACAACCACCTACACACACCCACAACCACCTACACACAACTGTACCCTCAAACACACAATAATATGGACTGAACCACCACTCACAACCACTAGCACTTTATATAGCCTCTGTAGAAATTATCCACATATCTCACTTATCTTAACTGCACTACTGTATAGCTCTGTGTAAATAATCATTCTGTACAATACGATAATTTTTAATTCTACAGCTGTTTATAACCTGCATAGTTCACATTTCTGTATAACTATATATCTCATATTTCTGTATAGTTTTTCATATTTATATCCTGTACATAGTTTATACTCACTACAGCCTGTACATTCTTATAGTTATAGCATATTCATAACATACCTCGATACCATGTACATTTTAACATACCATAATAGACCCATTTCTGTAATATACTTACATATCTATATTATTGCTAATATATATTTGTAATATATCTGTATCGTGGCTAAAGCACTTCTGGATGGATGCAAACTGCATTTCGTTGCCTTGTACCTGTGACATGTGCAATGACAATAAAGTTGAATTCTATTCTATTCTAACCCCCCTGGAAATTACGCCCCTGGCAGAGAAACACTGGGGAACTAGAACTAATATTACTAATAATAAAGACAAGACTACAAATCTGACAGTCAACACCAGAAAAACCATTAAGTCATAACAAGGACCAAACAGTCAATACTAGAATATCTTATGAAGTATCCAGATGTTTGAAGAAGAAAGCAAAAGCTATAACCATAAAACAAACAAACAACAACAAAAGTAGCTCACACAATAATTTACCGATTACAAAAAAGAATCAAAATGAAACAGGAAGGTCAGTAGAAAGTTTCATCAGTGGAATAACAAAAGATTTTAGTGCTGGAAAAATATAGAAAATCATTCATGCAGCAATTCCAGACAACAGCTAACAAATAAATAGACATACTTTAAAAAGGTAACTCGAGTAGAGAACTACTCAGAGAAATAACAATTTTGGAAGTTTAGTTAAAGGTTTACATGAAAAATTCAAATACATGATAAAATAGTCAAAAATTCTGAGCACGTTTTGGATATTTCAAAACATTGGTTATGGTTAAAAGAAAGAACACCCTCTTTCAGTTCTAAGGCGTTATATCAGAACATAAAAAATAATGTAGTCCTTAGCAGTTCTTAAAACGAGGTAAAAACAAACTCAGATGAATAAAAACCCGCCACGTGTCATTATTTAACAAAAACTAAACAGTTGAGGCTTGTAGGCATTCATTTATGCACAGCTCTCTTAAGGTCTCAGCACAGTATTTCAATCAGGTTGAGCTCTGGACTTTGACTGGACCATTGCAACACAGTGACTCTTTGCTTTTTTAAGCCACAGTGTTGTAGATTCCCTGCTGTTCTTTGGACAATTGTCCTGTTACGTGACTCAGTTTATAAAAAGCTCTAGCTGTCAAGAACATGACCTCACATTGGATTCTCTTTTATATCTAAAAGAGTTCATGGTCAGCTCAAAGACCTAAAGGTGCCCCGGTCCTGTGCTGGCAAAACAAGCCCCAATCATCACCGCTTCACTGCTGTGTTTGGTAGTTGATATGCGGTGTTTGTGCTGATAATGCTGTATTTGTTCTCCACTTTGGTGTTGTCTCTCCAAAGCACAATGTTCCAAAAGCTTTGTGGTTTGTTCAGATGTGGCTTTGCAAACAATAGCCATGCTGCCATATTCTTTTTAGAGAAAATAAATGTTCTCCTGGCATCCCTTCTGAACAAACCATACTTGTTCTGTCTTTTTCTAACTATACTGTCATGAACTTTAACATTCAACATGCTAAAAGAGGCCTGCAGAGTCTGAGGTGTAGATTTTGGGCACTTTGCAGTTTATCTGAGCATTTTCTGAGTTTTCCACTTGTAAATAATCATTCGATGGGCAACAACAACTGCTTCTCTAAGATCACTGCTAAAATCTTTCCTTCTTGACACCGTGTTAACGCACACAGACCAGCACACTGCCATAACTTTTATAGAGGTCCTTTTGGGCCTTTTGTTTGATTAATTGATCATCAGCAGACATCAAACTGAATAATTGGCTGCTCCTGGCTGCTACTTACCCTCTTAATTACCATGTACTCAGTGGGTGTGCTTATTTTTTCACACATTGCTTCTTCTTTTTAGCTTAACATGTGTTAAATAAAAAATAAAAGAATTCAGGAACTGTAATAAGCATGATAAGCCAAGGATTATCATAATTATTCTGAACCCAAATTAAAATTTTTTCACTTTGAAACATGTGGAAGACCTGAACTTGGCTGTTTGTGTTAGTACCATGTGGTAAACCTGCCACAGCGTGATGTGAGGATTATTTTCCTTATTAGCTTGGCACAAGCATCAGTTACATATCAACCTTTGTTACAGTACGGCAGCAGATTTCTGTCCTCTGTGGCTGCTTCTACTTAAATAAATGACAGTAAAATGAAAGAGAAAGCATTCCGATCCTTTTTTAAGCAAAATGATCAGTTCAGCAACACTAAATTTACATTAAATGTCCTATAATTCAAAATTATCTGATCATGTAAAACTAACATGTACTTAAAGTGTGACACACAATCTATAGCTCAAAGATTTATATAACTAGGCATTACATTGTGTGTTTTTCTATATAGGTATGCTTTTACACTATTGGCGACGTGTTTGGGATCAGTGCTGAAAAATGAACATATTGCAATTCATGTTTTCCAGATGGCCCCTATGCCTTTCTATGTTCATAATTCCATAAATTTGGACAAGATCCCCAACACCACTGGCTAAAATGCAGCCCTAATGCAGCCCTTTGCTGGATTTTTTCCCTAATTTGTAAGGACATTAATTTCAGATACTCTTCATCTACTGAACTATACTTTTTTTATTTGTTTTTTAAGGACACACTGCACACCATGCTGAGATATACCAGGTTTCGACTCCCAGTGCATTTTCACAGTAATGCATACACAAATCCAGAGTATTTGTGCTAGCGTTTAGCAAAATAAGCATTTCTCAACTGATTAGAAGATTTTCTTTAAAAAGTATTATATGTAGTCGCAAATGCTGTTAAAAGCACTTTTTTGATTCTGTAAAAATACAGATTTATAGAATAGAATAGAATAGAATAGAATTCAACTTTATTGTCATTGCACATGCACAGGTACAGGGCAACGAAATGCAGTTTGCATCCATCCAGAAGTGCTTAGTGATATAGATATATTACAATATATATTAGCAATAATATAGATATGTAAGTATATTACAGAAATGGGTCTATTATGTTATAATGTACACAGTATGAAGTATGTTGTGAATATTCTATAACTATAAGTATGTACAGGCTGTAGTGAGTACAAGCTATGTACAGGATATGGACAGGATATAAATATGAAAAACTATACAGAATATGAAATAAATAACTTTATGTCTGTCAAATTGTGTTATCTTTGGCATTATTCAGATTCAAGTAAAGAAATAAGAATAAATGATGTGGTTTTATGATAAACTGCTAGTAACAAACTCTATAAAGATAAAACACCTTTAGGTTTTTTGGCTAAATTGTCTTTTATATGCAGACACAACCTTGTTAGGTGTCGTTTTTATGCTTACATTATTCATATGTCAGTGTTTAGTGGCTAAAACGTAGAAACGTTCCTCTGAAAGGGTTTGGTATAAGAACAGGGCTGAAAATGACCTTTTTTTAAAAGAGAAAAAGTGAAAATCTCTAAAAGCGTGGAGAACTATTTCTCAAAACTACTATCAAAGACAGAAATCAGGTTCTTTGGAAGTAAAATATAAAGAAATGATGGTTGGCTGAAGACTTCTGCACAGCACTGCGCGTTACTTTCGTGTTTTTTTTGTTTTTTTTAACAAATACATGTTTCATCCGGGAAGCGGACTTTGTTCTCAGGCATGTTACATTTTAACGTTAGGCTCTTTACGCCTTTTTTCCCAGGCGCTGACGCTTCCTTACGCATGCGTAAAACCAGTTGAAGAATACGTAACTGGCGTAACGTTCACGAGCCAGGCTAGCGGTGAAGGGTTTTGTGGGTCATGGGGGAGGAAGGTAAATAAAAGCGGGGAGCTAATAGCACTCAGCGACTGGTTTCGGACGGTTACTGGAAAATTTATTCGGGCGGAGGTGTGAGAGCGGGACAAGAGGGGACATACCGCCGGAGTGAGGGACTGTCGCTCGGATACAGCAGCAGCTGTCGGCGGTGAGGTGAACAGTATGCTTCCCTTCTATTCATGCTTCTTCGCTGGGTGCACACTACGGGAGTGATCTCTGCACTGGCCCTACTGCAGCTAGCCAGCTAGCCACAGCTGATATTTTTTGAGTTCCGGACGGTCGTGAGCGTCCTCCGTTTCCCTTTAGGTTTCATGAACCGCACGCTGGTTACATAAATAACACAGAGTATCGCTTATCGAGCTAATGTTGCTGTTTGTAGCTGAAGCTGCAGTTAGCTCCGATCAGCTCTATTTTATTACACAGTGCTCCCAGAAAGGTAACAATGCAGGCAGGTGTGTTTAGTTGATATCTATAACTAGTGGACTATGTGTGACAAAGGCAACCTTCGCCTATTCCTATCGTCTCCGTGGATTTGTAGTCAATAAACAGGTGTCATAATGGCCCGTCTTTGGTAATGTGTGTATTAATATCTCTGTCTGATCCTCTTACTTTGACCCTAATCATAATACAGCAGCCATTTGAAGCGGTGGGACTAAAGTAGCCTTTAAATCTTCAGCCTAGACAGCAAGAACAACAGTCCACCTGTAAGGTGTTGTGTAATAGTCACTGAAGAGTTTTTAGGTAGACGCTCACATGCGAGATTAGGAAGGGAATTCATTTTTATGTTCCTCCTCTCCAGGGAGGTCAACATGTGTAATTGATAGGGGTCATTGAAGTACAGCAGCAGAGTTTCATACATCTGGGACTACATTTCAGAGTGAAACAGTGTCACGGTATTGTTTATTATTTTGCTTTTAAATGTTTAGGTGAGTAATCATCAGATGGAGCAGGATCAGTTGAAATGTTTGCAGTTTATATAGCTGTTATTTTAGACCTGATATGGAGTGTTGTGCAAACATGCTGCTCTTCATTTCGTTATATTTTGCTTCACAGAGGAGCCAAACATTCTTGTAATATATCAAAGTGGTCTTGAACACTTCTCAAGTTCTCAAGGCTTTCTGAAGGTATTTTTATTTAGATATCGGTTGTTTTGTTTCTTTTCTCATTCATTTTTAGCTCAGTAATTGTACCTGACCAATTTTTTATTTTAGTCTCTTAACACTGACCCACTATCCATCATTCAAGCATATAAAAGGCACTTAACACAAGCAATGTACCAGTCTTGTGTCAACTATAGTACAAGCAGCTGGAAGAATCAGGAAAAAATCCATGAAGAACCTGGTGTCAGTGGAAAAGGCTGTGGTATGCCAAATTATGCAAGAACTTGATTGAAAAGCAGTGGCAGCAAATCTTAGAATGATGAATCCAAATTGAAATTTTTGATTCAAACTGTCGTCAGTGTGGTACAACGGTGAGTATGAACCTTTTCCTCCCTTTCAGGCAGTGGTGCTGGGATCTTGTTAGAATTGATGGAATTTTAAACACAGAATATCCATCAGATTTTGCCATTTGGAAAGCATCTGATTGACAGCAGCTTAATTCACTGCCTGGATAGCAAAACACTTATCAGTCATGGATTGTCCTCCCCAGAGCATCTACCTCAAAATGATTGAAGCAGTTTGGGATCGTCTTGACAGAGAACAGAACAAAAGGCAGCCAACGTCCAAAGAGGAGAACTTATCCTGAAGACTACTTAATAAAATTATAAGAAAGCTTGCATAACAAAGTTTCAACTATTAACTTTAAAGCTCATTAGAGTAGTACAAATCTTGTTGGTGGGTGTTTGTTTTTGTTTTTTTCTCAGCTTATATTCTATAGTTCAATGCATGTTTGCACATTTCAATAAATCATGTATAAATAAACATGTATTTTCAATTTTCCTAACAAAATATAAAGAAATGAGGGGTGGCTCAAGAGCTTTTAACAGTAATGCATACACAAATCCAGAGTATTTGTGGTAGCATTTATCAAAATAAGCATTTCTCAACTGATTAGAAGATTTGCTTAAATAAAATAGTATTACATGTAGTCAGTGTGTTAGTATAGTGATGCTGATGTTCTTTATCTTCGTAAACGCTCTTAAAAGCTAAAATCTCCTGAACGTACCAGATGAGTTAAGTGAAACATGCTGTGGATGCCTGTGCCTGCTGAGCCATCATATTCTCATTATTAATGGTTCACTAAGAGCCAGAAGATGAAATGAAAAACAGCAGATGGAGCTTGAATTTGTGCGCGTTTCATGAGGCTATTTGAGCAGCCTGAAGATTTCGCTCGGCCTGTCAGCTGTTAAAGGGGTCAGGAAATTGAATAATTATTTTTAGATGTGATGGAAGGGACACAAAACAATGTGAAGGACTAACTGAACTTAAAATTACTCTCTGGTGCCGAATAACAACAATAATAATAATAATAATAATAATAACAATAATAATAATAATAATAATAAAAATAAAAATCTTTCAGGGTTGAATATGTCGAGTGTTAAAAATTAAAACATTTTATATTTTGGGGGATGGTTTTTCAGTTATTGGTGCATAACTGTTTAGTTTCTCTAATATTTAAGTGTCTAATTAGAAATTGGACCTCATACTGGATGCTTTAGGATCTGCGTCTTTTAATTGTTCCATTGAGGTGCTTCACTCTACATAGTCCATTGCATGACTATCACAGTAAAACTAAATATGAAAAAAGAAAATAAATGGTAATAGATAAAATGATAATTGGATGGCATGGTGGTGCAGTGGTCAGTGGTGCCATCTTTAAGCAAAGTGGCCTTGAATCCACCTGCTGACTGGAACCTTTCTGTGTGGAGTTTGCATGTTCTTCATGGTAAATGGTAAATGGCCTGCATTTGTATAGCGCTTTACTTAGTCCCTAAGGACTCCAAAGCGCTTTACACTACATTCAGTCATTTACCCATACACACACATTCACACACTGGTGATGGCAAGCTACATTGTAGCCACAGCCGCCCTGGGGCGCACTGACAGAGGCGACACATCGGTGCTGTGGTTAGCCGCTGTTGCCTCACAGCAACGAGGTCCTGGATCCAGGTCTCCTGGAAGCACCCCATTCCAAAGACGCACATGTTGGCTTAACTGGTGATTTTAAATTGGCGTGAAGGGTTATCTGTTTCTGTGTTAGCTCTGTGAGAGAGGAAGAATGTGGATGGCTGGATGGCTTACCCAATGCAGGGTCATAGAGTAGGCGTAGAGCCTTTTCCAGCTGATGCCGAGCGGGACACAAAAAAGCCTGCACATTAGGGAAAAAGAAAGACTAGCTACAAAAGTATTTTACACTCATACAATTAGAGCAGGGCAATATGACCAAAAATATTTATCACGATATACATTTGAAAATTTGTGATAACGATATAACTGACGATATAATTGACACTAGACAAAATACTTTACAACTCCGCAACTTTATTAGTGCAAAAAACCCCATCAATGTATTTTCACTTAAACAAGCAGCTGTTTTTTTTATGTGCATTAAAGTTATATAAAAATGTAACAGTGCAAATGCAAATTCCTTGCTGACAGTTTAACCAAAAGGCATTTCCAGTGGAAATTAGCTGACATATCCTCAACATAACCATGTATAATATCCACAAAACTTAAGAAGAGGTTATACACACACAATACGGTAATATTATGTTGAATCACAGTACGTATCACTCCGCGAGGCGCCTGCCTACGATAGCCGTACTAAAACATTTGACTGATTTTCGAGCGCCGTGCACATAAAATCATTTTGAGGTCAGTAAACACAACCAGAATTCATACATAAGGCACACGGGATTATAAGGGGCACTGTCGATTTTCAGAAAAATCAAAGGATTGATTTTAAGTGTGCCGTATTTTCCAAAAAACACAGTAATAACGACGGCCTGCTAGCATGCTCTACAAAAAAATAGTGCTTTGTTGTGTATCTAACAGACGAAAGCCAAACCAGTTCCACACCACTGTAGTTGCAGCATTTTTACAAACCAATTCTGGTTCATCCGTTTCATTCAACGATCCACTTTCGCCCCTCTCATTCTGCGTCGCCGCCATGTGCATATGTAAACATAGGCACTGCGCATGCGCGTTTTACCCATATTCTATTGCGACATTTCATTTTCCTATCGTTGCCCAAAATTACACCGGTATTACCGTGAACGGTATGATATAGCCCAGCCCTACATACAATAAATAAAACCAACTAAAAATAAATGTATAGAAAATGTATTTTGTTTTAGGGTTTCTCACTGAGGAGCATTTAGTGTAGATGTTTAGTGGGACTGGAATTTCTTAATGTTTGTAAGACAAGTATTTGTATTATATCTGTTCTGATCTGTCACCAACAAAAGGAACAAAAACAGTGAAACTAATAAAACCTAAACTGAAAACTTTACATGGGGAAAAAAAAAAAAGTAAACAGTCAAAACTAAAGTAAAACAAGCCAACCCATTTGGGGAAACTTAGTGAAGCTAAGCTGAAGACAAAATAAAACTGTAATAAGTCTCTTCTCATAGCAATACTTTTCTTGAACACAGACTGAATATGAGTGGTTCATTTATGGCTCTTCTTCTCAGTTTGCAGGTGGTCTTATTGGGTTTGCCTCATCCTTGTGTTGCCATGGCGATGCGTGAGTTGGTGGAGGCAGAATGCGGGGGAGCCAATCCCCTCATGAAGCTGACCAGTCACATGACCAAGGAAGGGGGGCCATGGCGGAACGCCACAGCACCTCCAGTGAGTATTTTGTAAGACATCAGGCCCTGAGCTCTGTAGTCTACACGATATGCTTAGAAGTTTGGGGTCACTTAGAAATGTCCCTGTTATTTTTCAGTCTCTTTATTGATTTTTAGCAAACTTTGGCTTTGAGTTTCAACATTAAATTAATAAACACTCATTTTTATCTGTGAGGAAGAGCCTGATATTCTTTTTTTTATTTTTTTTATTTAAGGCAACAATAGACTATACTTAAGCTTTCCTTTTGTAACTTTATAAAATAAAATGTAACAAATAATTACATTCAAGAGTTTCAATTTGCTCAGTGGTATGCATTAGGGAAATAATACCTGACAACAAAATTTATTTGCATTTGTTTCATTTTATCTCAGAGTTTTTCGGATGTTTCATTCATACCCAAGCTAGTTTTTTCTTTTTCTGTGTGGAGATGACAAAAAATGGGGATACTGTTATCAAATAATACTAATCAACTTCCTGACAAAACTTTGTTACTTTAAAAGTAATAAAGCTTTCCAGCAATTCCTTCTGCTTCTTTTTACATAACATCTCTGCTACCAAACAAACAAATGAGAGAGAACCTGCCTCATCTCGTGGGAGCTTTTCAGTCCTGACAGGAGATTCTGGTTAAGTAACAAACATAATTAAAAGTAGTTGGTGTAGCAGGTGTGAAAATACCATTAACAGCTGTAGCTTTGCTCTTGGGTTCGTCCATGTTCTGTTACTCCTGCTAATGAGGGGCCCTTGTTTGCATGACGCACAGCAAAGTAATTACAGAACAACATAAAACTGAATTCAAGTAAGTAAAATTTTACTAATATTGGATCTTTCAAGATAAAAATCACAAAGTACCTCACAAAAAAAATGCTAGAACATCAAAACAAAAGACGAAAATATGAGTACTCAGGTATTTGTCCATGTGGAGCTCTGAAAGTCAAAACCAGAATCTTAATAATAACAATAACAATTTCCGATTGCGCGTGCAACTCTCCATCTGCGTGGACATGAGAGCAGATGTCCTTAAAAGTGCTCAAAATGGACTGAAGCTAGAGCAAGGCCCCAAAACAGAACCCTGTGGCACACCGTAGACAAGAGACAAGGAAAAGAACCTGAACTAAGAAGCAGCCACAGAAAAGGAACATTTATGCAGATACTGACAGGTATTATGATCTGCTCCAGAGGAGAGCCCAGATTCTTATCCTATTGAGAAAATTGAGGTGGTCGCCATTGTCAAAGACAGAAGGCAAGTTCTTCATCAGCAAAACAGAACATTACCCTGCACCCACTTTGCATCGAGATGCTTATAGAAATGCTCCTTCTTATGAGTAACTGATCGAGCTTTTTGAGTCAGGATCTGAACAATATTTCCTGGATCCATGCTTTTAACTTAAAATGCAGAAACTGTATCAAAGCATACAGTAAATGTGTAAGAGTGCCTCTGCTACAAGAATACAAGATTTAACACAATCTGTTGTAGGGCTGTAAATTTAAGAGTATATCTTTCCTTTTAATTAGAAAATCTAACACTGTTCTCTGTCGCCCTTGTTATATAGCAGTTTAAGAGCTAATTGGCCTTTAAAAAATATTAATGTTAAGTTCCAGAATTTTATGTGGAGTTGGCACCAGGCTACAGCAAAAGCACTAGTGTTGCTTTTGCAATAACTTTTCTTTATATATTTTCAAGCTCCCTGTGACCTTTATCTCTGGAGCTGCTTGATTTAACATTTTTGTGCAAAACATTTTGCTAATAGATACCATACTTCATTATTATTTTTTGCAGATTCATCCCACTCCCATTGAAATTGCAACTGAGGAAGATGTAAGTGCTTTTCTTTCAATTTTAATGATTTGCTCTAAGACTGTACAGTATATACTTCAAGTTTATACCCTAAAGCCAAAATATTTAGGTTTCCTCAGCATGTATTTTAATCATTAAGAGTTACCATTAGATTTTATATAAAATGAATGTTTTTGTTCTAGCTCGTTAATGAGTTCCTTCAGGAACCTCCACGCCCTCCACAGACCTTTGACATGGGTCAGCTGCTGGAGGAAATGCAGCAGATTGACCAGCAGAGCTACAGACAAGCTCCACAGAGAGGTGCTCTTCATCATTACTTGATGAAGTTTAAAAGATTTTCTAAACCTTTTTTCCAGTAAATTTGAACTTCTTTGTATTTCCTTGTCATAGCTCCTGATGTGGCAGCGCTGGCCCTCTCTGGTGACTGGGTGGAGGAGTTCCTCCAAGGCTCTGATTCTGCCTCCGCCCCGGGGCTCATCGCGCTCGGCGATGCCGCAGATGCTGATTGGACGAAAGAATTTATTGCCGAGGCAGCAGGTATGTTTTGTTTTCATTGCTTTTCTTGGCCTTCTGCATTTTTTGCATAATGAGCTAATCATCTTTCTGCCGTTATCATCACTCTGTCTCATATCATCACGTTTTTTTGCTCAAATCAGAGTGAATATCTTTAGGGCAAAGTCTTCATAGTGTAGCTGTTCTGACTCATGAACTCTGGACAGTGTCAGCAGAATTGCATCCAAGCTTCTTCCAAGGTTGTCCTTTCACACATGTAGCACAAAGCAAGAGATGATCTACTTTAAAATTTACTCACTGCTAAAAATAACCTGTTTGTTGAGAGTGCTGAGAGTCCACCGAATGATTACCTGCACTGTTCTCACACGCGTTCAGGCACAGGGTGTTTAAAAGGGAGCTGACAGTTATAAACCATTTAATGTCCGATCCAGCAGAATCAGACGTTTGAGTTCTCACATGCAGCTCTGTTAGGCGTCTACAAAGGTTTTTGTTTTTTTTTGTGTGTTTTTTAGGCGCACTGCATGGGTGAAAACAGCTTATGTCATTATTACATGTTTGCTGTGTTTTTAATTTTTCAATTTCTCTCATTTTTAGATCCTGGCCGCTGGGCAGAAGAGTATCTGGAGCAGTCTGAGGAGAAGTTGTGGCTGGGGGATCTTGGAGACAAAGCAAATGAATGGTGAGCAGGGGATAGAGCCGGGGGATGGAAGGGGGTTACAAGCACTGCATTACATGTAGAAAATGTAGGGTAGACATGTGAGGGAGAATCAAGGAGGACAAGAGTGCTGTTGGCAGAACTTAAAGCACTTGAAAAACTGTGATAATTTTCTCTTCTTGGTGAGTGAATTTTCTGTTTAATTGTTAAACATTTAACCTGATATTCTCTTGTCTGACAGTGTTGAGTTAATCCATTAAATCTCTGGTAGAAGTCAGTGAAGCAGATGAACATGAAGTGAAAGCTGATTTAAAGAGTCCTTGTATAATCATCGTTGTGCACTGGGCTCTAAATACGAGAGTGTAAAATGCAGTTTATATTTGAAGTGATTTGTTCCAACCTACAGTACTGTGCAAAAGTCTTGAGCCAGCCATCATCATTGCTTTATATTTTATATTCTATGAAATATTGGAAATGGGTGTCATTGAAACATCTGTAAATATACATTGAAATACAGAATATAAGTTGAAAATCGTGTGTACAATTCTAATATGCTTGAAAAGCAGTATTTGCTATGACTAACTTCATTCTTCACCTTATTGGTACAAAAATAAAACTATTTTATGTCGAAATGAGTGAAAAAACAGCAAATGATCAAAGAAAGGCTTTGAAAGACCTTCAAAAACCCTGAGAACTATTGTTCTAGACCACTTTAAAACATCATGGGAAAGTCTTGCTCAAGACCTTCTAGTTTTATAGCATTAAATTTATGTTTTCTTTTGTTTGTTTTTTTATTGTTAATCTGACAGGACTAAGGAGTATCAAGCAGAAGACGAGCTGAGGCAGACAGCCAATGAGCTTGTCTCAAAGGTTGATGACCCAAAGTTACAAAACACAGAGGTGAGCAGTGTGTCATTGTGACACCGTAATACACATCATTTCCTTTTACATGTCTATCACCATGTTCTTTCACTTTTTTCTTTAACTCTTTTGTAGAGTAGGTCCTTGAGACTGTAGCATGTGGTGCACAGATGATTTTTGTGGTTTTTAATGGCTTTTGTCTCAGTGTGGGAAGAAAGTTGCTGGTTTGGGAAGAAACTAGCATTACTGGTGTAAAACTGATGAATTAGTAATAGTAAATGCATTTTTTTTTTTTTTTGTTGTTGTAATTTGTTTTTTGTTGTTGTGTAGTTCCTGCGATTCATTAGGCAAATTGGCGAGGGCACTGTGACAGTGGAGAGCAAGACAGACAAACAGCTCACAGATAAAGCTCAGGCCGAGAATGCTCAGAACTGGGCCTCCAACCTCAACCAGGTACGAGTCGCAGCCCACTGAGGAAAGGATGGTTACAACTGTGAACGCTGTATGTTGGGGTAGAACACTGGTTCACTGTTGCCCAGTATAGGCTAAGCCTTGTGACTCATCACCCCAGTATCTGTTGCAGTGTAAAATTTTCCACAAATGTAACCAGAAGCAGCCACCAGTCTGCTTGTAATATGAGTCTCCAGGCTGCAGTGTTGCAGATGGAATTTGTTTTTGCAGAGAAAGGGCTCTCATAACTGTCAGCTTCTCCTCTTGAGCATTTAGATTTTAATGTGCACGACCAAGATTTGGGGTTTTCCCATCTTGACGTGATTTTCCTTTCGTTCTGGATTTCACAGAAGGTGCAACTTCATTGCTTTGTATTCGATCAGTTCAGGCAGTAAAAGGCTGATGCCAGATCGAGTTTCTCTCTAAATGTATTTCTCTACAAGACGACAGATACAAAAGTACGGAGGCGTAATCCTTTCACTTGACTGAATTAATGAGAGATTTTATAATCCCAAAGGAGCCTTATTGATTTGAAAGCTTGATTTCTTGAGCTATAATACTGCTGCAGACTGTTTGTCTGCTGGATATTTCATGTTTCTCTTAGATCAGTTGAACCAATATGGCTTCAGGATGTAAGACGATGCATCTCAAATGCATTCAGACTGGCTAAGTGGTGACTCAAGAGACAAAGATTCCAGTACCTCCCAATGTTTCCAGCATAAACCAAGAGGAAACTGTATTAACAAAGCATGGGGCATTACTGCTTATGAAATCAAGGTTTCAAATTAATAGAGGCTCTTTTGGGATTTTAAGGTCCGTCACAACAATGTTTAACTGCTAACTTAGCTATCATGGGGGAAAGGTGAGGTATACTCTGAACAGTTGGTTTTTAAGCTGTATCTTTGATCCAGAAAAACAAGACAAAATAATTAGTCAAGTAAATGCATAACATTTCTGACTGCATTCAAAAATACACACAACCCCCCCAAAAATATAGATCAGAGTTAAATATCTTTAACCCACAAGTGACTAAAATGACCAAATAGGTTCTTTAACAAAAATAAATATATAAATAAATAAATATATATATATATATATATATATATAGATATATATATATAGATATATATATATAGATAGTTATGTTTGTGTTTATGTCAGAAATTCTGAACTGCTGTGATGTTGTTTTATTCAGTCATTCTGTATCCTGAAAAGGTTAGGTTTAGTCTCAAGACTAAGTCTTGCCATTTTAGGTTTGTGATCCATAGTTTGCTGCAGAACATTACAAGTGTGTAATGTAGAGATTAGAAGGGAAAACTACAACAAAATCAACACATATAATATTTAAAATGCACATATATTCAGTTATATGTTATTCCTGCTATATTAATGGGCTAATTCCTGAAACAAAAGTTCTAGAAGAAGTCTATTTAAAAATTCTTAGTCTAAAGCATTATACAGCACAAAGAAATATACCACTGAGGGCATAAATGAATCATGTAATTGGAAAGTTAAAAATACTCTGCAAAGCAGCAAATTACTCAATTTTAGAGATTTACATAATTTCCTTAGGGATTTTTAAATTATTCTGATTAAAAGAGTATAAATAAGAAGGTTTGGGTTATTTTATTTTATTTTTTGTACCTCCTAAATTGGATCTAGAGATTGATTTGTTAGTAACTATTTTTTTTTAAATTTTATTTATTTATTTTTTTTATTTACTAATTTTTACTAATCTAGTCAGAATTTGGAGAAATTGGGTGTTTACACTTCTGCCTTGAATCTATGATGTTTTTACTTTTTACTGTCAAGCTCTATGCTGTAACCATGTATCTCCATAAATGCATCATCAACACAGTCTCGTTTACTGGCGCCGTTTGGGCTTAAGCTTCTCTGGCTACTTCTTCTGTTGCCATTTTCTTCAAATCGACTGTAAGAGAGGGGATCTTGGTTGCAAAAAACAAACCAAAAACAATTACCTCAAGAAGGTTCCTGTGACAAAGTCTGACTGTGAAACTGCTTGTTTGACAGGTGGTTAGCCAGTGAGTGTGCAGGTTCATACCAATGATAATCCTCTATTTTAAAAGATAGCATCACTATCATCATCATTTGTTTAAATTCAGTATGACCCAAAATAAGTGACTGGGCCCATGAACTCATCAGGAGAGTGTTTACACAGGTCAAGACAGGAAGATTGGGTTTTTTTTTAGTAGTTTTGCAACTACTGCTATCGCCATCTGGTGGCCTCCAGATAGAATGCAGGTGTAAGACGCTTGAACGTTGACTTTGTGATCTGTGTTCCCCCAGCTAGTGTTTGGGTAAGGAAATTGCAGAGCATTGCAGGAACACCAGGGATAGATGCACATGCTGGCAGCAGGAGCTGCACCGTAGGCTCTAAATAGATTCAACGCAGAAGTATAAATTAAGCTATAATCTGTACTTTAATTTAATCTTTTGTAAGTCCAAAATTTGACCTGATATCTCAGTTTGCTTTTTTCTGCTTTACATCTGTTTCGTGTTCTTTTCCTGGCCTAAATGGCTTCCACATTATGTTGTGCATGTGTAGCTGTCAGCCATATTCATGCTACATTATGATTACATCTATGCCATCGCCCTCTAACTCTGAATTGTGCTTTTCCTATTTTTTTTTTTTTTTTTTGTTATTTTTATTTTTTTAACCTGCCTTTGGATTCTTGGCTTACCATTACCTTCATTAACACCTGTTATTCATCTGCTCCTCTTGATACTTCAAATTACTCCTTTTTTGCCCACCCCTCCAAAAAATTTGTAAAAATCCTCCATACCAACTCCTCCTCTTCCTCGAAACATTGTCCCGTTCCCTACTGCCACCCCTCCCTCCGTAGTTCCTGATGAAGACGGGGGGAGGGAGTCTTCCCCTGGAACCCCCAGAGATGAATCAGAAGATTGACAAAGTAAAAGCTAAACAAGCAGAGCAGTGGGCCAGAGTCGTCAGGCAGGTACGACCTCTGTGGTCACGGCAGCTATCCATGTTTTATTTTAAGCTGCAGTTGTAGTTACTTATTTGTATGTTTTGCTACCAGTGTTAACAATTTCGATCTTACCCATCCATTCAGATAGTCTCAGATTTCCTGCATCTAGTTGCTGTTTAGTGCTTTTACTGTCTCAGGAGAAAACTGGGAGTTAATTAGGAAGGAGATAAAGGAAGCAGTACGAGAAAAATGGTTTCTTCTGTGTTCTTCCACCTTTCATTTCTTTACTCCTTCACATTCACTCCCCTCTATATTTTTCCTCTCTGAATGCCCCGGTTCTCCCCTTCTAATAACAGTTTTCTCAGCCAGCGCATACAGATTCCTATCAACCACTGCCATTGCTCTTCATTGTTATTCAGGTGTCAGAGGAGTCAGCTGAAGCCTGGGTAGATGAGTTCGCTACATCAGGACCTGATTTTCAACAAGCGAAAGCCGCAGTGGAGGTGAGGCAAGAGTCTGTGACAATAAAAACCTTCAACCCAAAGCCAAGTATAATAAGTAGTATTGTAGAGGTTAAAGCACTGAGTGTCATCGGAGTTGAGGTTTGAAAATGGAAACTTTCCTGAATGATTGGCATGACGGTGCCCTTGATTTTTTTTTTTTTTTTTTTAAACACCCACAAACTTAATCCTGTTTAAGGAACGAAAAAAATATAGGGCCATCCTATAAGGCATCATCGATGCAGCAGCGTCTTCCAGTTGAAAAAGGTCAAAGTTATCTCCAATACGCTGTGAAGTAATGATGCGTGTCTGTCATTTTGTCAGAGTGATGTGGATTTCTGGGAGAAGCTGCAGCAGGAGTGGGAGGAGATGGCGAAGAGAGATGCAGAGAGTCATCCCTGGCTGTCTGACTTCGATCAGCTACTCAGCACTTCTTACGACAAGGTATCCGTCAGCCTGCTCAGAGCAGGCGTCTGCTGCTATCTGTTTTGTGTTGCAAGATTTCAGCATTTTTGCGCATACAGCTGTCATGCACAATGTCTAATGTGCTCCTGTGTTTCATATACCCTATTAAGTACTAATTAAAATCATATACACACACAAGTTCTCTGAGCAGTTTCAATGTTTTCCTTGTTTTCATTTGCAGGGCTATCAGTTTGAAGAGGAGAACCCCTACTTATCACACCCGGACCCTTTGTCAGAGGGATTGAAGAGGATGGAGGCAGGGGACATCCCTGGTGCCGTCCGGTTCTTTGAAAGTGCTGTGCAGAAGGAACCAGACAACCAGCTGGTAAGACTCTGAAAGGCTGTGTTCTCATTTGCATTACACTTTTATTTTTTTTTTTAATTCTTAGAACATCCTGTTATTACTTAATATAACATTGTGGGCCAAAAGGTCTCCCTACTTCTAATTTTAGCCATGTTTTTCTCCTGCTTCCAACAGAAGGCCCTTGAAATAATACCATGTGTCTTTTTTTCCCCCATTAAATTGCAGGCTTGGCAATATCTGGGAACCTGTCAGGCAGAGAATGAGCAAGAATTTGCCGCCATCAGCGCCCTCCGCAGGTCAGTAGTCAAAGTTGACTAAAACATGTTGTAAAACATGTAGTTGTTGTTATTATTATTATTATTATTATTATTATTATTATTATTATTATTATTACTCTAGATCTGGGTGTTGTCTCTTGTCTATAGTTTTTGTATCTGTAAGCATATAAAACACATTTTGCATATAAAAAAAAATGTGTTTTTCCACCACAGAGTCTATGTTAAAGTGAGGATAGATTTTTGTTAAGACCTTTTTAAATGCATACTAATGTGAGTGTCACCTCAAAAGAAATATTTTCAACCAGGAAAGCACCTCCATATTTTAACACTTGTCGTTGCAAAAAAGAGTTTCTTTGCCAAATGAATAGTCGTGTTTTTTCTGTCTGACTACTTCTTTTTATTACCACCATTCTTCCCATAGGTGTATAGAGCTGAAGAACGACAACCTGACTGCCCTCATGGCGCTGGCTGTCAGTTTCACCAATGAGTCACTGCACAGGCAGGCCTGTGAGACTCTTCGTGACTGGCTAAAGCACAATCCAAAATACCACTCTGTTTGGGAGCAGAGTGAGCGCGAACGCTCCAAAGACAGCTCCAAAGAAAGGGAGAAGGACAGAGAGAGGTTCGGGTCATTGCTGCCAGAGTGAGCATCACGCACGTTTAGGAGAATACAAAGATACCTCTTTCTCTTTGCCCTTTCCTTATTGCTTTTCCCTTGTGCAGGTCTTTGTTTACCGACGTCCAGTCCATGTACCTGCAAGCAGCCAATGTTGACCCTACCCAGGTGGACCCTCAGCTTCAGTGTGGTCTCGGCGTCCTCTTCAACCTCAGTGGAGAGTATGACAAGGCGGTGGACTGTTTCAGCGCTGCTCTCTCCGTCACTCCACAGGTTGGTGAAGAAGCCTTTGTAGAAATTCCAATGGCTTCATGTCATGTGCTCAGTTTCTGAGCTCTTTCTTTGTTTTTCTGTCCCCATAAGGACTATCTGCTGTGGAATAAGCTGGGTGCCACGCTAGCCAACGGAAGCCGCTCAGAAGAGGCTGTGGCCGCCTACAGGAGAGCACTGGAACTGCAGCCTGGCTTCATACGCAGTCGCTATAACTTGGGAATCAGCTGTGTAAACTTAGGGGCACATAGGTGAGACAACAGTGCTGTTTTGATGTGTATTTTGCTAGAGAGTCTTGGCATGTAAAGAAGTAAAATCTTTAGATTAAATGCATAATCCTCCTGAAGCTGGTTTTTATGATAGGGGAGTGTCAAGGTTCACAACCTTACCACTGATGACCTGAGTGTGGCTCTCTTAACAGAACAGTTTTCTGATAGATGTGGAATTAGTCCAGCAGTTTACATTTAGATAAACCTTTAAAAAACATGTTATGTGAAATCAGCATTTGATATACCCTTTTCAAATTGTCTTAAACACACTGACATTCTGCTGCTTACATACACATCAAATGCGTTCTGTGCCTTTTCAAATTCTGTCAGATTGCTACTTTTGAACTTTAGCAATTTTATGCTGCTTCCCAGATGTTTTTACCTTCCACTAGGGTGCTGTCTATAGTTAAATCTGCCTCCTAGTGGAAGGTATTTTATAGCCCCTTTTCCATTAGTACCTACTCCGATCAACTCAGCACGGTTCACCATGCTATTCAGGGTTTTCCATGAGGCCATAGAAACTGGTACCAGGTACTTTATTAGTACCTGCTCAGCCAGGGTTTCAAGCGATTGAAGCAGGTACTAGAAGTCACGCTGCATGCCACCGATTGGCTCGTCAGTAGCATCACTCAATGAGTCATAAGTGCATCTCGTTCACGAAAATTAAAACTGCCATTTTTGAAACCAGCAACGAGGGAAATGGCTACAAAAAACCGCAGTGTTCCCCGAGTTTGACAAAAAGCCACAGACCGAGCAGTAGGTATATTCTTGGCTCAATGTCCACCTTTGTTGTAGCGTTCGTGTTGCATATTAATTACGTTGCAGGATGCCCAGACGCATTGCTATGGCAACAAGCGCGCGCACTGGGTTGTAATGGAAAACCAGTCGATCCGAGTCGTAGCGATCTGTGGCAAGTAGATCAGAGTAGCTACTAATGCAAAAAGGGCTTATGTGATACAGCTAGACCACACACAAAAGATGCTACACTAGACCAGACGTGCAAGAAATCTAATAAATCTCACAAAGGTTTGTGTTGATGATGATTGACATTCACTTTATAAGGTATACCTTCAGCGAGGTGCTGGAAACATTCCTCAGACATTTTCGTCTGTTTCGAAATGATTCCCTGACATCCCAGAGGTGCTGTATTGGATTGTGATCTCTGATCTCTCGTCAGCAGGTCATCTTCGCCATGTCTAAAAAGCTAAATGTTGCTGCCATTTGGCTGATTAGATATTTGCCTTATACAGCGCTTAACCAGGTGTACTTAATAAAGTGGCCACTAGAGTGTACACCAGTGAGAAATGGACCTTAATTTGCAAAAGTGAACTTAGTTTACACAAGTTTTTTTATTACTGTTGCCTGTTCAGGTTGATATCAGCACATTGCAGATTGAACATAAATCCATCCTGTTCACTTTTTTAACTCCACAGAGAGGCAGTGGAGCATTTCCTTGAAGCTTTATCTCTCCAGCGCCAGGCTATAGAGGATGGAGCGAGAGCTCCAAGGGGTCCCGGAGGAGCTGCGGCCACTATGATGTCCGACAATATCTGGTCCACCCTGCGCATGGCTCTCAGCATGATGGGAGAGAGCTCTCTGTACGCCGCGGCCGACAGGCGAGACTTGGACACCTTGATGGCTCATTTCTGCCAGAGAGAGGTGGATGGTGGGACTGAATGAAAACCTGCCAGGAGAGGGCTCATTGAGTGTGAATGTTTTTTGCTGGGAGGTAAATGTATGAGTGACTGAATGAAGCTGATTGAATGGAGGAATGAAGGGGACATGGTACAGCTAACAGTTAAAAGAAGATGATCGAGGAACACACTGTGAAGTGATCAAAGTGCTCATCATCATCATCATCATCATGTGTACATGTGTGTTTAAAAGTGTTGCAGTATCAGGCTTCACCTGTAGAGAAGCAGGCAGCAGTAATCCAGTCACGAACTGTTTCACACGTTCAGCAGTCACTGGATTTCCTCCTTTGTTGATCAAGAGAACCAGACTGAATGATTTTAACTTGAAAATCTTTCTCAGAGAAGAAGAGAAACAAGAATAAACATGGTTTAATCACTAATCTGTTCACCATCCAGCAATGTTAGTTTGTGTTAAGACACTCACTCCTCTCCCTGTCTTTATTCACAGTTTGGTGGCCTCTGAGTTTATTATTACTGTGTTGATGTTGTTCCTACAGCATCTCGTTAACTTTGCTTCAGGACCACCATTGCAACCGGACAATCACATTGTTGTATTCGCTTCACAACTTGGGAACAAGATGTACACAAGAGTCTGGTAGGGACAACGCTGTGGTTCATGAATGGGTGAAACATAAGACTTTCACCCAGGAGACTGAGGCTTGTAGTCCTTGTTCATTTGAGACTTAGTTGACTGCTTTTCATTTTGAAAAGTATTTACTTCAGTCACTTTGGTTAGGTGTATAAAATGATCATATTAGAACTTAGTGAAGGCAAGCATCTTTTTTTTCCTCCCCCCTCAGGTGCAAAGCTAAGCTAGTGTTTTGTACACTACAAACCCTGTTTTATCAATTCACATGCCTCTTCATACAAAGGACTGGATGAGCCAGGGATCTAACCAGGCCTTCCAATTCGCAGACGACCCGCTCTACCTCCAGAGCTGCAACCATCCCTGATTGCAACGGTGTGATTGATCAGTGATGGTCCTGATGGAGGAACAACACAGCAATTATCAGATGTGTGTACTCTCTGCGGTTATGTATAATCAAGGTACAAGACCTCTGACATTAAAGAGTGCTGCTTATGATCCAAGGTGCTCAGCAGGCGGAAGGATTACAGATTATGCCATTGTAAAGTAGAAATACAAGTCATAAGTGCTACAGCTCTTTTTGTTATACTTTATTTAATTTTTTAGTAATCATTATCATGCCAGGATAATGAACTGATAACCAGCGGGACTGTTACTCAAATGATAAGGTGTGTGTGTGTGTGTGTGTGTGTGTGGGTCGGGTGAGAGACATTATGTCAATGAGAGTGGCGTTTCTGGGTTCCTGTGCTCTTTTTCATATTGCTCCTGTAAAACTACTTGCTTCATTGTAAAATAATGCTCTATGCCATACTGTGTATTGTAACATAATTGATGCACTATAATTGTTTTCAGGCTACTTATATCCTGACAGCAATGTTTAATATAATATTCAGCAATAAAAGCTTTGATTCCAGACATCTGTTATTATCCTTTTATTTCAATTTGGACCCCCTCTTGTTGGTATATGGGTTGTTTCATGGTCCTATCGACTAATTTGCAATTTAAATGTTTAGACTAAATTAGATTTTCATATTATAGAGCAAGATGGTTTTATCAAAATGTCAGCTCTAAGAAGTGGGAAGACTTGCCAAATCAGCAGGGCATTGCATTTAAAGTTTCCTCAGAGTTAATAATAAGGATTTTAATTTGTTTAACATGTTTTTTTTGTTTTTTGTGAGTAATGCAAAATTATTAAAACTTGTGAAATACAAAATGCTGTGGCTTGGGAGGTAGTGCAGGTCATCTGGTCTACAAGTTTAAGGATCTTCATGCAAGATACTGATCCCTGAGTGGGCCTGATGCACACTGGAGTGTGTGCTAATGTTAGTTTAAAAGTGCTTATGCATAGAAACAGTTTGCATGAATTGGTGAATGAGCCTTGTAATAAAGTGCTTTGAGTGCTCAGCACTTAATAAAGAACAGTTAATTTACCAAAAAGTGATTTTATTTATTTATTTATTTATTTATTTATTTTTTGGGGGGTAATTCTATAATTTTTGTAGTGGTTTGGTTTTTTTGGGTTTTTTTTAGTGCATACACTTAACAACCACTTGATTAGGTACACTTGCAGACTCTAATATGACCAGTGATATAGTACAGCCTGAAATCTTCAGAGCTCATACCAATGACGTTGGCTCATTCATTTAGGTTTTTGTTGAGGTTGTCAGGAAAAGTAACCTGATTTCATGATTACTTGCATTACATTTAATTCAGTTCCTATGTTTGTTTGTTTGTTTTAATCCACTTCCCTAACATACAGGTACTCAAAGTAAAAAATCTAAATTTAAATGCTTTAAAAAATTTATGCTAAATCTATCTGGAAATCTGAAGGGTTATATCAAGCATTGTTTTTACCTTTGACTATCATTATTATATATGCGCAGATTTTATTCATTTTCACTAAATGCGAACTCGCTATTCATGTTCAATGTTTTATTTATTCTTGGCACACTCCGGCCTCCATACTTACTTTAACAAGTCATATTCAAAAGAAAACTCGTAACTCGTGTTTCCGGAGCTTTCCCAACAAATTCATTTTCTCTCACAAGTGAAAAACAAAACGTTTCCTTAAGTTATCAGCAGCCCACCCCGCCCTCTTTTAAACTAGGCCAATCAGAGTCGAGAAGGCGAAGTGCAAGAGAAAGTTGATTGGTTCATTTAAAAATAACATAAGCGCAACCACGCCATTTAAATGTTTTAAAAGTCGTGTGTTCCTCCTGTTGATCTGAAGTGTGGAATAGGAGAAAGGCGGATAAACTATACGCTTGGTCCACTGTATTTGTCGTTTTTTCAGGTGAGTAGTGAAATAAATGACACGTCCGAATGATGTAGACCGAGTTTGTGTTTTTTTTCTTTTGCTATACTTTAAACGGTTAACGGTGCAGTCACGTGAAACTGCAACATTTAGCTAACATACGTAGATGTGAATATGGTTTCCAGCTCTGTAAATGTCATACAAATTGTCCATAGTGACAGATATAGTAGTAAAGTCGTGTTTAAGATGAGCTACGATTTTTTTGTATTTAAAAACTAACGTTAACTTTAAGTCACGAGCACTAATCCATCAGCTAATAAGCTAAAATACAATGTTTAACAACAGGTTATTTATGCCTTGTCAAGCATTAGTTTTTACCGTTGTGTGATTGTAAGAATGAAGAATACACCAAGAAACGAGCCTTTCAATGTATTGATGAATGAGAATAATACATAGTTTTATTGTATTTCATCTAAATATGTGTACATCTGTGCTTTGTATTTTTGCTGTGTTTTTATGTTATGAATAAATAAATGAATAGAACTCTGTTTACCTGAATGGCAGGTAACATTAAAAAAAGGATCATGGGATCAAGTGAGAGTAAGATGACTGCATCTGCAGCCATAAAACCAGAGCCAGCCTTCAAAAAGACTCACATCAGTCACCTCATCGATCCTCGCTCCCCCTCAGCTGGCATAGAACGAACACCTATTCAGGTGGGTTACCTGGTGGATCCATTCATATATTTTAAAAAAAAACACAAAGTCTGAAAAAAAATGTACTGTCTGAACTCCAGAAAATGTGCAGTCATTCTTTTTTATTAATGAAGGCATGAACATTTTTACTTTGATCTTGAGGCCCTCTGATCCAAACTCTCTTCTGTACTCACATTTCAAAGACTTTGAAAAGCTTCTTGTTTGATCAGTGTGATATGTCCAAACTATAGAAGGTGTGAGGGGAACAAATGAGACTTTTCACATGCGCTTATACTCCATCTTTCCCAGATGGTGTGGATGAGTGTAGAAAGTTCACCCAAAATCCACATTTTGAAGTTTTCTCCAGTAAAGTATCAGAAAACAGATCCAAGATATCATTGCTTGTCGTTGATCCTTTGTGTAATAAACACAAAGCTGGTGCAGTTTAGCTGCTAAACTTGCATGTCACAACATGCAAGTTTAAAAAAATTACCCTCTGATGGGGAATAGGTGGGAGGCACTGATAATTATTGACCCTGCTTTATTCTCTATACTACTTTTGTAAACTGTGGGGCAATCAAACATAAAATAATTGAATATTTTTGCAAGGTTGGGCAGCTTGTGTCCAAAACGTCCGCTGAGATGAAAAGCGAGTGCCCTGTGGTGTTCGGTGATCCACGTTCACCTACCATTGGCATTACCCGCACCCCTGTGAGAGAAGTTATGAGAGGTAAGTAATATATAAACGTAATAACTTTCAGCTTGACTTTTCTCACTTTATTGAAAAAAAAACAAACAAATCTAAAAAAATGACTTCCTTTCATTCATCTTTCCAGCAACAGTCGGGTCCTTTGCTCGTCGCCTGGGTATGATTTTCCACAGTGAGGTTGAAGGGAAACTCCCCGAAGGCCGTCAGAAAGGCTTCAGTGGCGCATCAAAGAAAGAGGAGGACTTTATAAGTGAAGAGCTGGCATCGACTGAGCCCCTCCTGAGCCCACAGCCGTCCAGCAACCTTAATGAGCATGCTAACTTACTGGTGCCACCTGTCCAGCCCCCTCTCCAGAGCGTAGAGAAATTGAGTCCTTTTGTGCTTCCTGAAGAGCCTCAGGTGGAGGTGGAGATAGAAACTGAAGCAGATATTAGCCTGGAGGAGGCTGAGGAAGCAAGAGAGTCTCCTCTTCACAAGAGACTGAGCATGAGCCTGATAACCTGCCACGAGGGCGCTCCCTCCCCCCGAGCCTTTGCAGAGGTCCATCATGAAAATATTTCATCCCCAGAACCTGGCACAGAGGTGGAGCCACTTGGGGATGGTGTGGATCACGCTTACGCCCTTCCTTCTGCTACCATTGAAGCAGACTCTCCTGTTGAACCTGCCCCCTCCAACACTGATGCTGATGATTCCCTTGCACAGCCAGAGAAGGAAGAAACTAAAGAGCTCGCTAAAGAAGCTAATTTGCTTCCATCCGGTCCACCATGTGTTCGTGGTCCTGAGCAGCCACAGGCTTGCACCGGCATCCGCTGCCCCACCTTTGACTCAAAGAGCCCCAGCCAGACTGTTTTCAAACCACAGTGGCTGGGAAATGGCTTTCGTCCGTCTGGGCTCAGAGCAAGAGGAGTGCAGGGGCTCGGTGGAAAAGGAGGCTCGTCTCCTCTTGCCGTCCGTGTGGCCGTTAAGAACGTAGCCAACGAAAACAAAGGACAGTCTGGAAAACTGAAGCAGAAAGGTGTGTAGGAAGTTTGTCACCTTTTGATTGTTTATGGTGAGACTGTTCTGCTTTTCCTTTTTTAAACTTTCTTTTTCTTCAGGTACTGAAGGCCGCTCTCCGCTGCAGATCCTCAAGAAGACCAACTCGCCCAGAGACCAGCGCGCTCAGGTATTTGTAGCTGTAATTTACCCACATATGGGCTCATGAAAGCAACATCTGTGTTTTTACTTGTCCAAAAACACAGGAAATTCACGTTTTGATTTCTTCCCAGATGAAGCTGAAGACGTCCACTCCCGACAAGCAGAGGGCTGGACAGATGGACCGCCGAGTGCTGGCTGTGTGTCTGGATAAGGAGAACCGATGAGGCACTGCACGCACTGTTTTTTAAAATGTGCTTTTATGTGTATAGCTTCCACAAACTATTTGTTGTCCTGTATATATTTAACTGCTTGTTGTTGTGTAAATAAAATTTGCAAACCTACTAGAGCTTTAAATTTTTACTGATTAACTCTTATCTGTTATTTGGAGAGTTTTCTTGTTCGTTTTTGTGCGCATTTAATCTTCGTCAACACCTAAATTATATTCAGAAATAACACTTGAAATTTAATATTTCTCCAGTTTGCAAAGATTGCATAGCTCCCATGTCATTGAACTGACAAAGCGTCCTTAGGCAATGGTGAACACTTCGTTGCCCTCGCCTATCAGTGTGAGTGTAAAGTGTCTTTTCTATACCCAAGGCATGCTTTTGAGTGAAGAAAAAGCACTATGTAGCTACCAGTTCATTCAGCAGGTTACCTTGATTACTGCTGAGTTGCTGTCATGTGATTGGCTGTTTGACATTTGCACTAGCGAGCACTATAGCAGGTGTACCTAATAAAATCTTAGGAAAAACAGACATTTTAGCATTAATTAGATGTAGCCCTTTTTTTTTTTTTTAAAGTTTTTACATTTATTCATTTTTACTTTTTTGTCACAAGGAAACAACAGAAGAGAGAAGGGTGTGGAAAGAGTAACAGGAAATAAATAAACAGCACAGTAGTAAACAGTCTTTCTATACTCTAAATGTTTGACTTGCAGGCAGATCATGTGGCCAGCCGATGATCTGTTCTTGGAGGAGCAGCTCCTATTTATGGTCTTTTTACATGCAATATTCAAAAGGGAGGAATATCGTCATATTTAATCGTGCCACTAGGTATCAGTCCCAAAAGTGTCACTGGGATCCTTGAAAATATCACAACCAAATATGTCCTCTAAAGTGTT